AACCAATACATCCTCTATTCTGAAAAATACCTCATCTCCCCTAAACCAATACCTTATCTCTTCTAAAAAGAATAACTACTCTCTCCAAAAACCAATACTTCCTCTCTTCTAAAACCAATATCTCCTCTCATCTAAAACAATACATCCTTTCTCCTAAAAACAATGCCTCCTCTCTCCTAAAACAATACCTCAACGTTCCTAATACCGGTACTCTCCATAGTCTTCCTTGTCTCCATATTAAGCCTTTTCTTCATAGTCTACCTTTTCTTCATAGTCTACATTGTCTCCATAGTCTCCCTTATCTCCATAGTCTACCTTGTCTCCAGTCTCCATAGTCAACATTGTCTCCATAGTCTCCCTTGTCTCCATATTAAACCTTTTCTCCAGTCTACCTTTTCTTCATAGTCTACATTGTCTCCATAGTCTCCCTTATCTCCATAGTCTACCTTGTCTCCAGTCTCCATAGTCAACATTGTCTCCATAGTCTCCCTTGTCTCCATAGTCTCCATTATCTCCATAATCTACCTTGTCTCCAGTCTCCATAGTCAACATCGTCTACATAGTTTACATTGTCTCCAGTCTCCATAATCAACATTATCTACATAATCTACCTTGTCTCCATAGTCAACATTGCCTACATAGTCTACCTTGTCTCCATAGTCTCCCTTGTCTCCATAGTCTCCATTATCTCCATAATCTACCTTGTCTCCAGGCTCCATAGTCAACATTGTCTCATAGTCTACCTTGTCTCCAGTCTTCATGTTCTCCATTGTCTCCATAGTCTACCTTGACTCCGTAGTCAACATTGTCTCCATAGTTTAAATTGCCTCCAGTCTCCATAGTCTCCGTTGTCTCCATAGTCTACCTTGTCTCCAGTCTCCATAGTCAACATTGTCTCCATAGTCAACATTGTCTCCATAGTCTACATCCTCTCCAGTCTCCATAGTCTCCCTTGTCTCAATAGTCAACATTGTCTCCAGTCTTCATAGTCAACATTGTCTCCAGTCTTCATAGTCTCCCTTTTCTCCATATTCTCCCTTGTCTCCATAGTCAACATTGTCTACATAGTCTACATTTCTCCAGTCTCCATAGTCAACATTGTCTACAATGTCTACATAGTCTACATTGTCTCCAGTCTCCCTTGTCTCCATTGTCTCCATAGTCTACCTTGTCTCCATAGTCAACATTGTCTCCATAGTCTACCTTGTCTCCATAGTCAACATTGTCTCCAAAGTCTACATTGTCTCCAGTCTCCATAGTCTCCCTTGTCTCCATAGTCTACCTTGTCTCCAGTCTCCATAGTCTCCATTGTCTCCATAGTCTTCATTGTCTCCCTTGTCTCCATAGTCTTCATTGTCTCCATAGTCTCCCTTGTCTCCCTTGTCTCCATAGTCAATATTGTCTCCATAGCCTATATAGTCTCCCTTGTCTCCATAGTCTCCGTTTTCTCCATAGTCTCCCTTGTCTCCATAGTCAACATTGTCTCCAGTCTCCATAGTCGCCCTTGTCTCCATAGTCTACATTGTCTCCAGTTTCCATAGTCAACATTGTCTCCATAGTCTACATCGTCTCCAGTCTCCATAGTCTCCCTTTTCTCCATAGTCTCCCTTGTCTCCATAGTCAACATTGTCTCCAGTCTTCATAGTCTCCCTTGTCTCCATAGTCTGCCTTATCTCCAAAGTCTCCCTTGTCGCAATAGCCTCCCTTGTCACCATAGTCTCCCTTGCCTCTATAGTCTCCCTTGTCGCAATAGTCTCCCTTTTCGCCATAGTCTCTCTTTTCGCCATAGTCTCCCTTGTCTCCATAGTCTCCCCTGTCGCAATAGTCTCCCTTATCGCCATAGTCTCCCTTGTCGCAATAGTTTCCCTTGTCTCCATAGTCAACATTGTCCTCCTATCCTTCTTATTTTCCCCCTTTCTTCTTCTATATCTTAAGGTCTTTCCAGTCTCCCTTATCACCATAGTTTACTTTGTCTCCCCTCTGTCTTGTCTCCTAATCTCCTTGGACGTCTAATTCACTCTTGTCTCCAAAGTCTCCCTTCTCTACGCAGTCTCCCTTTCATCAAAACTCCTCCATAGTTTAGCTACCCTGTTTTTTTTCCCGACGTTTCAAGCCAGAAATACCGTAGTTCTGTAATGTTTCCATATTTAGACGTTTCCTTCTGAAAAGGTGGCCTCGCTGAGGGTATACGTCACGGTTTCCATGGCAACCATTGATTGACAAGAGGCCAGCACGAGGCTCTGGCGGATAGGTCAATACCGCCTCAAAAATAAAAACATGAGACATGGCGGCCATGGGATGGACTTTCATTGATACCAGACATTCAACAGTACCCCCCCCCCCACACAACTAAAACATTCAGCAGTGCCCCCCACACAACCAGACATTCAGCATTGCCCTCTACAAACACACAACCAGACATTTAGCAACTCCCCACACACACAACCAGAGATTCAGCAGTGCCCCCCACACATAACCGGACATTCAGCAGTGCCCCCACCACACACACAACCAGACATTTAGCAATGCCCCCTACCCACACAACCAGACATTCAGCAGTGCCCCCCTCTCACACAACCAGGCATTCAGCATTGCCCTCTACACACACACAACCAGGCATTTATCAATGCCCCCCCACACACACAACAAGACATTCAACAGTGCCCCCCCACACACACACAACCAGACATTCAGCAGTGCCTCCCCTCAACACACAACCAGAGATTCAGCAGTGCCTCCCACACACACAAAGTATACCATAAAATACGTTGTTCTGCCGCTGTTGTTAACAAGAGATAAAATGCTAAACTTGGAAAGTTGTCATAGTTAACCAGTTAACCAGGCTTTTTGAGAGATATGTGAGGCGAACTGAGCAGCAGCGCAATACAACTATTGCTCACTTTAAATAGTTTTATTTGTTTGAAATGAGCTGGTTGCTACTTCCGTACTCAAAGTGCCGGAACTACGTCATACCATCAGCACACTCCATAAAACACGAAACATTACAACACATTTAAAACATTATAGTAGATATGCATATGAAACATCACAATAAATATACAAAATTACAAATAAAAATAAACTATTTCAATATGCATCAAGGTCGGTACAACCTAAAATGACGCTGAAATAGTTGATCTTGCCGGCATGACGTTCCGGATAAAATATAGCATGAATGATTCTATTTAAAAGCTTTGGAAACTTAATTAGCTTAGTGTAAAATTATCAATCTGCAATAATATTAATAATCATAACAAATTTAAAAATGTATTTCATACCAACAGTCTATCACAATCTGCAAATTAACTAGAAAACAATGATCAGATGTTATCTGTTAGCTACCATCTTGATATACAGGACTAGGAATATTAACATTCAATATTTTACCAAATCGAAAGCTCACTGATAATGGCAGCTGAATGTTAGGAATGACATTGTAAGCTAAAGTTAAATACTGGCAGTAATGTAAAGTGTGATAGTAGCGTATCTGAATTCAGGCAGTGATGATGTAAATGATAGCTGAGTACTGGCAGTGATGCTGTAAATGATAAATGATAGCTGAGTACTAGCAGTGATGTAAATGATAGCAGAGTACTTCCTGTGATGTTAATGATATCTGAGTGCTGGCAGCAATGTTCCCTTTCAGCTGCGCGGCTGCGCGGCCGTGCAGCTGTCTCACAGATTCTGCGCAGCAGTTTTGAGTACCGCGCAGCAAATTTCCATGTAAGTGAGTGTTTGTGTTTGTGGGCTGTAAAATTTTGCACACAAAAAAAATTGATTTTGCTCAGGAACAAATAAACCTTAGAGGGAATATTGGCTGGCAGTGATGTCAATGATGCTCAGTACTAGCAGTGATGCTGTAATGATATCTTGATTCTAACAATGATACTGTTAATGATCGCTGAAATCTCTTACAATTCATAATGGTAACATTTTATAATAGTAGAAAAAATTATACTTAAACTGTAATAAACACTTTAATGTATCTTAATTAAACACTTAATGTATCCTTAAAGTATCAGAAATGTATCCTTAATTTTAATTTTGACAATAAACGAAACAAGTCCAATGGTTCATCCAGTGCGGCGTTTGATGTGTTTCTTGAATCCACCTGGGGAAGCTTGACAAAATGATTAAAGCTGATTAATTTATGGGCGGTCTGTTACTAATTTTAGACTTGATCAATTCAACATTTAATCCGAAAATCATTGATCTTTAAGGCAATCTGATATCTTAATGAAATGTGTGTTGTAATAGTAAACATGTCACAAATATGTTTTTCCCCCCCCCCCCCCACACTCACCCCACTCACATAACTCCACATAAGGCACCACAGTTTAATATGTTTCGATTAGTCATATAATCCTTTATCTATAATGTTGAATCGTGTATACATTTGAACATATGAGGATTGAAACGAATATAATCTCATAACTGGTCTGATTTCATTTCATCGTGATATCTTAATATCTTTACAATGGGGGAAATAATTCATATCAACAATGGGGAAGTAATTCATATCAACAATTGGGAAATAATTCATATCAACCATGGGGAAATAATGCATATCAACAATAAGTATATAATTCATATCAACAATGGGGAAATAATTCATTACAACAATGGAGAAGTAATTCATATCAACAATAAGAATATAATTAATGTCAACAATGAGGATATAATTCATATTAACAATGGGGAAGTTATTCATATCAACAATGGGGAAATAATTCATATCATGGTTTAACGTGATCGAACGCTTGCCATAGCATATGAATAGATATTTCTTTTGTGCATGAATTATATAGGCCTACCTAACACCAAAGAGTACAAGTGGCTTATAGAAAGACATGGCAACTCGTTAATAGCAGTGATGAAAGCTGCTTTGACAGCTTTGGAGTGTCGCATCGATCGTGGCGCGCCCCCATTCCCCATGTCTGGAGTTATTTCCCCTCTCTTCCTACTTTTTTTTTAAAAAAAGTTTTATTTTCTCCGTACTAGTTCCTCATTTCGCTTGCTTGTTTCTTGCCGTTGGTCGTGGCGGGCCGGGAGGTGGCGGCTAAGGCAAATTGAAACACACTTCATCATCCTCGGGTAGCAACCAGTTTCATGGCAGGGAGGGACTGTATCAAGCTCTTCTAACCCGTGTCGCTGTTCCATCCCCAGCAGAAATTGAACCTTCTCTTCTTTTGGTGTGTCTATCTGAAGATGTATTTACTTGTTCTTGAGTTTTCTGTGGATGCTGATTCGGTACTTAAACTTTGTGCTTCACGATATAATTCCTTTACGCCTAGTTTTGAGGCGTAAGCCATAGCTTGGGAATCACTGGCTTGAAGTCTGCTGTCCCCAAAGCGTACCGGAAACGCTATCGACCGGCAGACTGAGTGTGGAGGGGCAATATTACCAAGGTACATCATGGAATTGATCTGGCGCTGGGCCAAGACATTGGATTAACATTTTTTGCCCCTTTCTCTTTTACATCTCTTTCACAACCATTTTTTAAATAAAATTCAAACAGAGGATTTCGAAGAGAAAACATTGTTGGATTTAAGTGAGGAATTTTTTGGATATATTTTTTGCTGTCTTCCATCGGTCAATACCTTGAGGAGAGGTGAGTTTAAACATTACACTTATACCAAGTCGTGACCACTATTTTTGGTATTTATTAGAGCAAGTAACGCCCACTTTATATATATATATATATAATAGAAAAGTTATGGTCATTATTGTTAGATGTTATACCAAGACATGGTCATTATTGTTAGATGTTATATCAAGAAATGGTCATTATTTTTATATGTTATTATACCAATTCGTGGTCACTATTGTTTTGTTATATGTTATACCAAGTCATGGAGACTATATATTGTTACATTTTATTGTTATACAATGTCATGACCACTATTGTTAGATGTTATACCAAGTCAGAATCCTCCTTCCCCATTTTCGTCCACGCTCCCACCTTCTGCCCCGCCCCCACCTTCTGCTCCGCCCACACCTTCTGCTCCGCCCACACCTGCTGCCCCGCCCGCACCTTCTGCCCCGCCCGCACCTTCTGCCCCGCCCCCACCTTCTGCTCCGCCCACACCTTCTGCTCCGCCCACACCTTCTGCCCCGCCAACACCTTCTGCCCCGCCCCCACCTTCTGCCCCGCCAACAACTTCTGCTCCGCCCACACCTTCTGCCTGCTCCGCCCCACCTTCTGCCCCGCCACACCTTCTGCTCCGCCCACACATGCTGCCCCGCCCACACCTTCTGCTCCGCCCACACCTTCTGCTCCGCCCACACCTGCTGCCCCGCCCCCACCTTCTGCCCCACCCACACCTTCTGCTCCACCCACACCTTCTGCTCCGCCCAAACCTTCTGCCCCGCCCACACCTTCTGCTCCGCCCACACCTTCTGCTCCGCCCACACCTTCTGCTCCACCACACCTTCTGCTCCGCCACACCTTCTGCTCCGCCCACACCTGCTGCCCCGCCCACACCTTCTGCCCCGCCCACACCTTCTGCTCCGCCCACACCTGCTGCGCCGCCCCCACCGTCTGCCCCGCCCCCACCTTCTGCTCCGCCCACACCTTCTGATCCGCCCACACCTGCTGCTCCGCCCACACCTCTGCTCCGCCCACAACTTTTGCTCCGCCCACACCTTCTGCTCCGCCCACACCTTCTGCTCCGCCCACACCTTCTACCCGACCAACGAACCTCATTTTTAATGACACAAGAAACCATAAACCATTGCCCCAACCAATCTTAGTGTGTAAATATAATGTTCCTTAAAATTCAACCTTTTCAAACCCAACTCCTTCAAACTCAACCCTTACAATCTCAACCTCTTGAGTCTCATGCGCCAAACCCCACTATCATCAAGCCCCATATAGTGGGAGACATGTCCTTACTTAGGAATGGCGTTATCTCAAATTATGGGGGGAAGGTATGTCAATATCATTTCTCAAACTGTTTCACCCATAACACCGTAAGCACGATATTTATTGATCTTCTTGCATTATACCCCTAGCATTATACCCCTAGCATTATACCCCTAGCATTATACCCCTAGCATTATACCCCTAGCATTATACCCATAGCATTATACCCCTAGTATTATACCCCTATCATGAGTCCCCTACATTAAACCTCTAACATTATACCCCTAGCGTAAACCTCTAGCATTATACCTCTAGCGTTAGTCCCCTAGCTTTATTCCTGCAGAAACATATACCCCTAGCATTATACCCTTAGAGTTATATCACTAGTGGTAGCAAACCCTTTAGCAATATCAGGACACAATTCGCTGGTCCCTGCTATATTGAAACTGATAATTGATGCATTATCAAATTAAATATTCAAAATTGACCACAGACCCTCACTGGCGGCACCAAAGGGGTCTATTTTAGCCCATCTCCAGAACCGTTAGTCAGAAAGTAGGCCTCCCAACTTTCACTCAAATGCGAACCTATCCATGTCCCCTCCACCCATACCCCCTTTTTCCCAACTATAAATAAGGTCGCCACATATTTACCCTGTGGTAGTTTGAAGTTAGTATGGGTAAATACAAGGAAACTAAGGTTGACGGCCGCAAGCAATAGATTTACAACAAATTGTCTCTCTATCAAATTGTCTCTCTATCAAACTGTCTCTCTATCAAATTGTCTCTCTATCAAATTGTCTCTCTATCACATTGTCTCTCTATCAAATTGTCTCTCTATCAAATTGTCTTTCTATCAAATTGTATCTCTATCAAATTGTCTCTCTATCAAACTGTCTCTCTATCAAATTGTCTCTAACAAATTGTCTCTATCAAATTGTCTCTCTATCAAATTGTCTCTCTATCAAATTGTCTCTCTATCAAATTGTCGTTTAAAAATGTTATTAAAAATGTATACTGTTAATTTTACTTTTTAACCTGAATAATATTTGACATGGTCGCGTTATTTTCCAAATATTTTAAAACACAACCCCATTTAGCTGGAGCTAGAACCGAAAACACAGAACTTGAATCCTGCTGGACCAAGCCCTTCTGACGACCGGACCCTTCTGACGACCGGACCCTTCTGACGACCGAACCCTTCTGACGACCGAACCCTTCTGACGACCGCACCCTTCTGACGACCGAGCCCTTCTGACGACCGAACCCTTCTGACGACCGAACCCTTCTGACGACCGAGCCCATCTGACGACCGGACCCTTCTGACGAACGCACCCTTCGGACGACCGGACCCTTCTGACGACCGCACCCTTCTGACGACCGAACCCTTCTGACGACCGAACCCTTCTGACGACCGAACCCTTCTGACGACCGAGCCCTTCTGACGACCGAACCCTTCTGACGACTGGACCCTTCTGACGAAAGAACCCTTCTGACGACCGAACCCTTCTGACGACCGAACCCTCCTGACGACCGAACCCTTCTGACGAACGAACCCTTCTGATGAGCAAACCCTTCTAACGACCGAACCCTTCTGACGACCGAACCCTTCTGACGACTGAACCCTTCTGATGAGCAAACCCTTCTGACGACCGAACCCTTCTGATGACCGAACCCTTCTGACGACCGAACCCTTCTGACGAATGAACCCTTCTGATGAGCAAACCCTTCTGACGACCGAACCCTTCTGACGACCGAACCCTTCTAACGACCGAATCCTTCTGATGAGCGAACCCTTCTGACGACCGAACCCTTTTGGTGAGCAAACCCTTGTGATGACGAACCCTTCTGACGTCTGAACCCTTTTGACGACCGAAGCCGAACTTCACTGTCACTGATTACGAGCCAGTATAAATATAGTTCCCATTGTACTAAGAAAGATAAAGAAAATGTATGTTCCTCTTTTTAGTGCAGTTCAATTTTCATATCTGGAACGTTTATGTCTATAAAATGTAACGTATCTTTTATTTTCTTTGAATTAAAGCCAAACTAATTTCAAATTGGGTTAATTACCGAACGCGCTGAACTCCAATTGTTTCCGAACAAAACCTGTCTTTAAGCTGTTGGCAAACCCTAACTTAAGCTATTGACTAACTGTACATAAGCAGTTGGCAAATCCTTACTTAAGCTGTTGGCAAACCAGAACATAAGTTGTTGGCAAATACTTAAGCTTTTGGCAAACTCTTACTTAAGCTGTTTGCAAACCCAAACGTAAGCTGTTGGCAAACCAGAACATAAGCTTTTATCAAACCCTTACTTAAGCTGTTGGAAAACCCAAACGTAAGCTGTTGGCAAACCAGAACATAAGCTTTTATCAAACCCTTACTTAAGCTGTTGGCAAACCCAAACGTAAGCTGTTGGCAAACCAGAACATAAGCTGTTATCAAACCCTTACTTAAGCTGTTGGAAAACCCTTACTTAAGCTGTTGGCAAACCCTTACTTAAGCTGTTGGCAAACCCTTACTTAAGCTGTTGGCAAACCCTTACATAAGCTGTTTTCAAACCCTTACTTAAGCTGTTGGCAAACCAGAACATAAGCTTTTAGCAAACCCTTACTTAAGCAGTTGGCAAACCCAAACGTAGGCTGTTGGCAAACCCAAACGTAAGCTGTTGGCAAACCCTTACTTAAGCTGTTGGCAAACCCAAACGTAAGCTGTTGGCAAACCCAAACGTAAGCTGTTGGCAAACCCTTACTTAAGCTGTTGGCAAACCAGAACATAAGCTTTTGGCAAACCCTTACTTAAGCTGTTGGCAAACCCAAACGTAAGCTGTTGGCAAACCCTTGCTTAAGCTGTTGGCAAACCCGAACATAAGCTGTTGGCAAAATAGAACATAAGCTGTCCTGAATCAAACACCAACTTTTAAAAGAGGGTTCAATTCCCATCTCTAAATTAGACCAGGGGTCTCAAATTTAAGTGCGAAATAAATCGATACTGTATAATAAATACAACATGTTCATATTTGAGACCAGGCTGAGAAGCCCTGAATGCTTACCTAACACAAGAACAGTTCACATTAGATTATGTGACGTCAAGCGTCGTTGTTCACTCGCATTTATCAAATTTATCAGAACTCTCCATTGAATTCAGATGTCCTTACATTATTTAGTACTTACCCTATTTAGTACTTACACGATTAAGTACTTGCACTATTTAGTACTTACACTATTTAATACTTACCCTATTTAGTACCTACTCTATTTAGTCCGTACACTATTTAGTTAAATGAAGCACAATTTAATCAGTCCGGCTAATAAGTATTTGGTAACCAAAAATATGACTGAGTGATTTTATTTCTTGTTGTCTTTCTCGAAAACTAACGGGAGAAGGATGGATACGCCCATGAAGACGACAGGGAAAATCCCACAGTTGTCCACTTATTTCAAATTTTTACTTGGCTCCGTTAAACATTGGACAGCGATTGTTATTCCATTGTAGCCTAATTTTAAATTCCTCAATAGCTCTTGACGACGGTGGGTTATCGCCTTTATCTATTCAGAAGCGATCGTGAAGTACACGATGGAAGAGACGCTATTATTACTGTCAATATTGATAAGCCAAAATAATGATTCCTGGGAGTGCGATGAACATTTCTAAATGATGGCCTCGGACACTGTTTAGACCACAATGACAATGATCAATGATGTCGAATGTATGGCGCTTAAATTTTTTGCTAGAATCAGAGTCAAAGTCATAAAATATTTCTGATTTCTTGATCTTGAATTGGTCGCGTCATTAATTTATTTTTCGACATGAATCTATCATAATATGCCACGATTCAAAGATGTATGTCAGGTTTCTGGGACGTATGTCAGGATTCTGACACGTATGTCAGGATTCAAAGACGTATGTCAGGATTCTGGGACGTAATGTCAGGATTCATAGGCGTATGTCAGGATGCAAAGACGAATGTCAGGATTCTGGCACGTATGTCAGAATTCATAGACGTATGTCAGGATTCAAAGACGAATGTCAGGATTCTGGCACGTATGTCAGGATTCATAGACGTATGTCAGGATTCATAGACGTATGTCAGGATTCATAGACATTCAAAGACGTATGTCAGGATTAAGAAACGTATGTCAGGATTCAAAAACGTATGTCAGGATTCAAAAACGTATGTCAGGATTCAGAGACTTATGTCAGGATTCATAGAAGTATGTCAGGATTCATAGAGGTGTGTCAGGATTCAGAGGCATATGTCAGGATTCAAAGACTTATGTATTGATTCAAAGATATTCAGATGCGTAGAGAAGTGAGGCAGGCGGGACAGATGTCCTCGGGCGCCAGCTAGTTAGGGGCGCAAAATGTGCTTTGATATTATTTTACTGATAAAAATAACGGGTTTGAGAGATGAAAAAAGAAAAGGGGGTGCTTTTAAATGAATCTTATCCCTGGGGGCAAATCTTGTCCCGGGGCGCCAAACACTCTCGCTACGCCTCTGAAGACATTCAAAGACGTATGTCAGGATTCATAGACGTGTCTAACATGTTAGGACCTGGGTAAACGAAAATATCATGTGAGGCTTAAGTCATAGATCTGAGGCTGTAGTCATAGATCTGAGGCTGTAGTCATAGATCTGAGGCTGTAGTCATAGAACTGATGCTGTAGTCATAGAACTGATGCTGTAGTCATTGAACTAAGGCTTTAGTAATTGAATAGATGCTTAAGTCATAGATCTGAGGCTTTAGCCATAGAACTGAGGCTGTAGTCATTGATCTGAGGCTGCAGTCATTGATCTGAGGCTGCAGTCATAGAACTGAGGCTCAGGTCATAGAACTGGGACTGTAGTCATATAACTGAGACTGTAGTCATAGAAATGAAGCTGTAGTCATAGAATTGAGACTGTAGTCATAGAACTGAGCCTTAAATCATAGAACTGAGACTGTAGTCATGTAACTCTTTTTGTAAGATCACATTTGATTAATGTAATAGAATGTAACCACAAGTGAGAGTGTTTTCAAAGACACTGTTTTTCACCCATTTATCACAATATTTATAGGATGTTACACGAACTAACCAATGCTGTCTTTTACCATGGTAAGTGGATATATTCTGATTAGTCCATCTACATCACGGCAAGCAGCCTCTGAGCGTATATCTCCTTCTCTTGCATTTTGATATTCTGTACGACATATGTATGTGGGGAGTAGCGTGGGAGAATGATTCGTGCAACCTCAATGTCTTTTATGTAGAATCACGTAGACGTCTCCTTCTGTGTGGTACAGTTTAGACACCAGTCATCATCTTTGGGATCATTGCTCCCCTACACAGGAGCGGCTCAATGTACCGGCAACTCGGGTAGTTCCCTGGGGCGCCATGTGCTTAGGGCGCCATGTGCTTAGGGTACCATGTGCTTAGGGCACCAAGTGGTTAGGGCACCATGTGCATGGGGCACAGACGTTAACAACATTCGGCTTTAGATGTTGGTTGTCTGGGTTGAATTGTTGTGTAAAGCTTATAACTAATCCAACTCTGTAACCTACAGGCGCATGGCTTCCCAATAACGCGTAGACAGTGACGCAATATCTCTTCTATTTCTACCCGTGGTAACACTGGGTCATATGTTCTACAATGTCTATTTATAGATCTAAATATATATATATATATATATACTAAACTAAATTTAGTCATATATAAGATATATGTGCGTATATGTTTGCGTGTATCAAAGATGTACAAATAGTGTAGGCCTATGTATAACTTGTGATGACGATTGTAATTGTAGACAACGCAAAAGGGAGGAGAGACAGATTTTTTCAACATTAATGGTAGCCGGGAACTGCTGTGTCGGTATAGCATTGATTGTAGATGTATTAGTTTGGCTGGAAACAAATTTGAGGCGAGCCAAGCAGGCAACTTATTTATTGATTTACCAACAAAAAGGGAACACTTTGGGCCCCGTTCGTGACGTCAAATAATCCCCCCCTCCCACTCCATCTCCCCTCTCCTTTATAATTCAACCGGATTTTTCAGATCCTACTGTTTGTCATTAACCCGTCTCTCGCGTATTGATTAAAGCCCCCACCCTCCTCCCCTCCCCCTCACCCTCCTGCTCTTTATTGGCCAAATCTGATAGCCAGCTATAGATTGATGACGTGGGGTCCTCGATAAATTGGTCGGGTTTAGAGGGTAGCTGTCTCTGAGTAGCTGTCTCTTTTACATGGACAGCGTTCATGAATGGGAAGATGGGTGTAAATGCTCCGTTATAGCTACACGCTAGCTACAAGCATCCTACACGCTAGCTACAAGCAACCTACACGCTAGCAACAAGCAATCTTATTTAGTAGAGTTGCTGATGTGGTTTGGTAATAACATACTGTGTAACACAGATTTGAAGGGGAAAACTTCACACATAAATCTCGGGTCTCTTTACATTATACACTGGTTAACGTTAACCATTTGGGTGACGTTAAATTTGCTTGCTCATCTGTTTCATGGGACTGCTGTGGTGATCTAGCCTCTTGTTGGGGTAAAGGACCTCTTGCTCTGGTGATCTGATCTCCTGCAATGATGATCTGACCCTATGCTGTGATGATCTGACCTCTTGATGGGATATATGACATCTTGCTATTGTAATCTGACCTCTTGTTGGGTCGATCTGACCTCTTGCTGTGGTGATCTGACCTCTTGTTGTGGTGATCTTACCCCCTGCTGTGATGATCTGACCTCGTGCTGTGGTGATCTGACCTCTTGTTGTGGTGATCTGACCTTTTGCTGTGGTGATCTGGCCTCTTGATGTGGTGATCTGACCTCTTGCTGTGCTGATCTGACCTCTTTTTATGGTGATCTGACCTCTTGCTGTTGTGATCTGACCTCTTGATGGGGTGATCTGACCTCCTGATGGGGTGATTTGACCTCTTGCTGGGGGTGATCTAACCTCTTGCTGTGGTGATCTGACCTCGCATAGGGTATAAAATTTCAACTTTGTGTTACCGCTGCTTACATGACCTGGCGCCGTCCTATCTCAAAGCACTCATGACGCCTTATGTACCCAAACGACAGCTCCGCTCATCCAAAAAAGGCAAGATATCGATACCGCGTGTTCGCCTTGAGACCTACGGAAAGCGCACTTTTGCATTTGCCAGCCCAACAATTTGGAACGCCCTTCCAGTCGCTCTCAGAAACAGCCAGACACCAGAGTCCTTTAAAACTAATCTATTTCGCGAACACCTTCTTGAGTGATATTGACTACCATCTTTTTCCCCTTAAAGTATTTGGCTTGTGTGGTTTAAATGGGATGAAAGACACTGACTGGGTATGCTCGTATGTAGTTGTTTTTTTTAGTGTTGTGTTTGTTTTTAAATGTGGTAAATTATAGATTGTTTTCATCTCTCTTTTTAATATGGTTGACTTTGTACAACGCTTCGAGCTTTTGAGGATGAAGCGTGTTTTTCAAATAAACTTTATTATTATTATTATTGCTGTGGTGATCTGACATCACGGGGTTTGATATTCTTCATCTAGTTCATCGTCTGGACGTGATGGTGTAATGTGTACTAACACAAATTTTTGTAATGTGTACCAACACAAATGTTTGTATTTTGCGCTAACGCAGTTTGTACTGTGTACCAACAAAAAATTTTGTACTGTGTACCAACACAAATGTTTGAACTGTGCACTAATACAAATTCATATTCGTTTGGAGGGCAGCAGAGTATTAAGTAAAACATTATTGTTTTAAAAGAGAAGTAATTTCAAAAGGGGCGCTAGAGCATCTTATATATATGTTACGTAGTTTCAATGGTTGTCTCTCTAAGCGTTAGTTCCAGACATACAATGGCAATAACGTTATAAGATGAAGCAACATTATGAATACACTGGTCGTTGAAACATGTCAGTTTTTGTTTGTTTGATATTTTGTTTTGTTGCTCGGATGTGTAATGTAGATAATAGAGTATAGAGTGAGATAATAAGTGAGGTAACTTGGCGAGACAGTTAAAAGAGGCAGTTTGGTGAGATAGTTAAATGAGATATCTGGGCGAGGCAGTTGAGCGAGTAACTTTGGAAGGTAGATGTAAAGTAGGGGTGAAGTAGATTTGAAGTAGATGTGAAGTAGATTTGAAGCAGATGTTAAGTAGATTTGAAGTAGATGTGAAGTAGATTTGAAGTAGATGTGAAATAGGTGTGAAGCAGATTTGAAGTAGATTTGAAATAGATGTTAAGTAGATTTGAAGTAGATGTGAAAAAGGTGTGAAGTAGATTTGAAGTAGATGTGAAGTTATTTGAAGTACGTGTAAAGTAGATTTGAAGTAGATGTGAAGTTATTTGAAGTACGTGTAAAGTAGATTTGAAGTAGATAGGAAGTAGATTTGAAGTAGATGTGAAGTAGATTTGAAATTGAAGTGAAGTAGATTTGAAGTAGATGTGAAGTAGATTTGAAGTAGATTTAAAATTGATGTGAAGTAGATTTGAAGTAGATTTGAAGTTGATTTAAAATTGATGTGAATTAGATTTGAAGTAGATGTGAAGTAGATTTGAAGTAGATGTGAAGTAGATTTGAAGTAGATTTAAAATTGATGTGAAGTAGATTTGAAGTAGATGTGAAGTAGATTTGAAGTAGATGTGAAGTAGAAGTGAAGTAGATTTGAAGTAGATTTAAAATTGATGTGCAGTAGATTTGAAGTAGATGTGAAGTAGATTTGAAGTAGATTTGAAGTAGCTTTGAAGTAGATTTGAAGTAGAGTTGAAGTAGATTTGAAGTAGATTTGAAGTAGATTTGAAGTAGATTTGAAGTAGATGTGAAGTAGAGTTGAAGTAGAGTTGACGTAGATTTGAAGTAGATGTGAAGTAGATTTGAAGTAAATTTGAAGTAGATGTGAAGTAGATTTGAAGTAGATTTGAAGTAGCTTTGAAGTAGATTTGAAGTAGAGTTGAAGTAGATTTGAAGTAGATGTGAAGTAGATTTGAAGTAGATGTGAAGTAGAGTTGAAGTAGATGTGAAGTAGATTTGAAATTGATGTGAAGTAGATTTGAAGTAAATTTGAAGTAGATGTGAAGTAGATTTGAAGTAGATGTAAAGTAGATATGGAGTAGATGTAAGGTAGATGTAAGGTAGATGTAAGTTAGATGTAAGGTAGATGTAAGGTAGATGTAAGGTAGATGGGAAGTAGATGTGAAGTAGATATGAGGTAGATATAAACCGGGTGTCATACGTCGATAGATTTTAACAACATACTTGTGTATTTTTTTCCATCCAGTTTAAAATCCTGAATTAAAATTATGATTTTTTTTTAAATTTTATGTTTCCACGAGGCATGTAATTTACAGAGAGATTGGATGGTATGACCTTTGAACTTTTAAAATTTAATCTCGAAAGCCGTGTATCTAATGAATATAAAAGATGCATTAAGTCATTTCATGATCAAGTGTCCACAAGTCAGAACGTCACAATAACTTGCGCCATGAAATATTAATGCACAGCCAGCTTTGTTACAAGTTTGAATCAGTAACACAAGACTTGCAACACGCTCTGAAAAGGTCAGTGAAACGCTTGCTTCAGCTTGTAGCTTGGATCCTGGTTCCAGTCAGTGAAACGCTTGCTTCAGCTTGTAGCTTGGATCCTGGTTCCAGTCAGTGAAACGCTTGCTTCAGCTTGTAGCTTGGATCCTGGTTCCAATCAGTGAAACGCTTGCTTCAGCTTGTAGCTTGGATCCTGGTTCCAGTCAGTGAAACGCTTGCTTCAGCTTGTAGCTTGGATCCTGGTTCCAGTCAGTGAAACGCTTGCTTCAGCTTGTAGCTTGGATCCTGGTTCCAGTCAGTGAAACGCTTGCTTCAGCTTGTAGCTTGGATCCTGGTTCCAGTCAGTGAAACGCTTGCTTCAGCTTGTAGCTTGGATCCTGGTTCCAATCAGTGAAACGCTTGCTTCAGCTTGTAGCTTGGATCCTGGTTCCAGTCAGTGAAACGCTTGCTTCAGCTTGTAGCTTGGATCCTGGTTCCAGTCAGTGAAACGCTTGCTTCAGCTTGTAGCTTGGATCCTGGTTCCAATCAGTGAAACGCTTGCTTCAGCTTGTAGCTTGGATCCTGGTTCCAGTCAGTGAAACGCTTGCTTCAGCTTGTAGCTTGGATCCTGGTTCCAGTCAGTGAAACGCTTGCTTCAGCTTGTAGCTTGGATCCTGGTTCCAGTCAGTGAAACGCTTGCTTCAGCTTGTAGCTTGGATCCTGGTTCCAGGCGGGCAGTGAGTGAATCTTGTCTCAAAATCGATTTGAGTGATCGATAGTTGGAAGCCTGGAGACGCGCCTCTCATGGTTTTGTTGAACATGGCGCTCATTTCTGACTGCGTTTGTCATGTGTGAATGGGTCACTTTATGAGAGCAGGTCACTTTATGAGAGCAGGTGAGATTATGAGAGCAGTTTGCATTATGAGACCATGTCACTTTATGAAAGCAGGACACTTTACGAGAGCAGGTCACATTACGAGACCAGGTCACTTTATGAGAGCAGGTCACATTATGAGAGCAGGTCACTTTATGAGAGCAGGTCACATTATGAGAGCAGATCACATTATGAGAGCAGGTCACATTATGAAAGCAGGTCACTTTATGAGAGTAGGTCACATTATGAGAGCAGGTCACATTATGAGACCAGGTCACTTTATGAGAGCAGGTCACTTTATAAAAATTTGATTTCCATCCAACATTAAACTTCCATCCAACATTTGACTTCCATCCAACATTTGAAACTTCCATCCAACATTTGACTTCCATCCAACATTTGACTTCCATCCAACATTTGACTTCCATCCAAAATTTTATTTCCATACAACATTTGACTTCCATTCAACTTTTGACTTCCATACAACATTTGACTTCCATCCAACATTTGCTGACTTCCATCCAAAATTGGATTTCCATCCAACATTTGAATTCCTTCCAACATTTGACTTTCATCCAACATTTGACTTCCATCCAAAATTTGATTTCCATCCAATATTTGATTTCCATACAATATTTGACTTCCATACAACATTTTACTTCGATCCAAAATTTGATTTCCATCCAATATTTGATTTCCATCCAACATTTGAATTCCTTCCAACATTTGACTTTCATCCAACATTTGACTTCCATCCAATATTTGATTTCCATACAACATTTGACTTCCATACAACATTTGACTTCCATCCAACATTTGACTTCCATACAACATTTGACTTCCATCCAACATTTGACTTCCATCCAACATTTGACTTCCATCCAACATTTGACTTCCATACAACATTTGACTTCCATACAACATTTGACTTCCATCCAACATTTGACTTCCATCCAACATTTGACTTCCATCCAACATTTGACTTCCATCCAACATTTGACTTCCATCCAACATTTGACTTCCATCCAACATTTGACTTCCATCCAACATTTGACTTCCATACAACATTTGACTTCCATCCAACATTTGACTTCCATCCAACATTTGACTTCCATCCAACATTTGACTTCCATCCAACATTTGACTTCCATCCAACATTTGACTTCCATCCAACATTTGACTTCCATACAACATTTGACTTCCATACAACATTTGACTTCCATACAACATTTGACTTCCATCCATACAACATTTGACTTCCATACAACATTTGACTTCCATACAACATTTGACTTCCATACAACATTTGACTTCCATACAACATTTGACTTCCATCCAACATTTGACTTCCATACAACATTTGACTTCCATCCAAAATTTGACTTTTATACAACATTTGACTTCCATCCAAAATTTGACTTCCATACAACATTTGTCTTCCATCCAACATTTGACTTCCACCCAACATTTGACTTCCATCCAACATTTCACTTCCATCCAACATTTCACTTCCATACAACATTTCACTTCCATACAACATTTGACTTCCATACAACATTTGACTTCCATACAATCTTTGACTTCCATACATTTGACTTCCATCCAACATTTGACTTCCATACAACATTTGACTTCCATACAACATTTGACTTCCATACAACATTTGACTTCCATCCAACATTTGACTTCCATCCAACATTTGACTTCCATACAACATTTGACTTCCATACAACATTTGACTTCCATACAACATTTGACTTCCATACAACATTTGACTTCCATCCAACATTTGACTTCCATCCAACATTTGACTTTCATCCAACATTTGACTTCCATCCAACATTTGACTTCCATACAACATTTGACTTCCATACAACATTTGACTTCCATACAACATTTGACTTCCATACAACATTTGACTTCCATACAACATTTGACTTCCATACAACATTTGACTTCCATACAACATTTGACTTCCATACAACATTTGACTTCCATACAACATTTGACTTCCATACAACATTTGACTTCCATACAACATTTGACTTCCATACAACATTTGACTTCCATACAACATTTGACTTCCATACAACATTTGACTTCCATACAACATTTGACTTCCATACAACATTTGACTTCCATACAACATTTGACTTCCATACAACATTTGACTTCCATACAACATTTGACTTCCATACAACATTTGACTTCCATACAACATTTGACTTCCATACAACATTTGACTTCCATACAACATTTGACTTCCATACAACATTTGACTTCCATACAACATTTGACTTCCATACAACATTTGACTTCCATACAACATTTGACTTCCATACAACATTTGACTTCCATACAACATTTGACTTCCATACAACATTTGACTTCCATACAACATTTGACTTCCATACAACATTTGACTTCCATACAACATTTGACTTCCATACAACATTTGACTTCCATACAACATTTGACTTCCATACAACATTTGACTTCCATACAACATTTGACTTCCATACAACATTTGACTTCCATACAACATTTGACTTCCATACAACATTTGACTTCCATACAACATTTGACTTCCATACAACATTTGACTTCCATACAACATTTGACTTCCATCCAACATTTGACTTCCATACAACATTTGACTTCCATCCAACATTTGACTTCCATCCAACATTTGACTTCCATCCAACATTTGACTTCCATACAACATTTGACTTCCATACAACATTTGACTTCCATCCAAAATTTGACTTCCATCCAACATTTGACTTCCATCCAATATTTGACTTCCATCCAACATTTGACTTCCATACAACATTTGACTTCCATACAACATTTGACTTCCATACAACATTTGACTTCCATACAATATTTGACTTCCATACAACATTTGACTTCCATACAACATTTGACTTCCATCCAACATTTGACTTCCATACAACATTTGACTTCCATCCAACATTTGACTTCCATACAACATTTGACTTCCATACAACATTTGACTTCCATACAACATTTGACTTCCATACAACATTTGACTTCCATCCAACATTTGACTTCCATACAACATTTGATTGCATCTGATAGCGGTGTTTTTATTATCATTATTATTTATTATATCAGTCAGATTTTCCTTATATATATGTATCAGCTTCTTGTTATATGTATCAGCTTCTTTTTATACAAATTAGCGTCTTGTTATATAGATCAGACTCGTGTTATATAAATCAGCTTCTTGTTATATAAATTAGCTTCTTGTTCTATAAATTAGGTTCTTGTTATATAAATCAACTTTTTGTTTTATAAATCAGCTTCTTGTTATATACACCAGCTTCTTGTTATATAAATCAGCTTCTTGTTCAATACACCAGCTTCTTGTTATATAAATCAGCCTCTTGTTGTACAAATCAGCTTCTTATTTTATAAATCAGCTTCTTGTACGTCGATGGTCCTGGATACGAAGCACGTGTTCCTTTGTTTTGCAGTTTGCGTCTGTTTCAACTCTAGCTCTTGAATCTCACTAAGAAAGTTGATTTTTGTATGCGACATTATTTTGTGTTGACATCATCAAAAGTACTAAAGATATTTGCTGGTCAATCTTTGTTTCAATCATTTATACAATCACTTAGTCATTTATTTCCGGATAAAAATAATTAGTCTCATTGCATTCATATTTTTATAATAAAAAAAATAATCTTCGTCTATCTCCGCCATTCTCCGTCTTTCTTCGTCTATCCGTCAATTTTCGCCTGCCTCCGTCTATCTCCGTCTATCTTCGCCTATCTCCGAATCTCCGTCTATCTTCTGCTATCTCTCTCTATCTTCTACTATCTCTGTCTGTATTCGGATATTTCCGTCTATCTTCTGATATATCCATCTATCTTCTGCTATCTCCGTCTATCTTCTGCTATCTTCGTCTATCTTATGCTATCTCTGTCTATCGTCTGCTATCTCCGTCCATCTTCGTCTATCTCTGTCTATCTTCTGCGGTCTCCGCCTATCTTCAGCTATTTCTGTCTATCTTCTGCTATCTCTGTCTATCTTCTGCCATCTCCGTCTATCTTCGTATATCTCTGTTTTTCTTCTGCTGTCTCCGTCTATCTTCGTCTATCTCTGTCTATCTTCTGCTGTCTCCGTCTATCTTCTGCTATCTCTGTCTATCTTCTGCTATCTCCGTCTATCTTCAGCTATCTCCTCTGTCTCCGTCTATTTTCGTCTATCTCCGGCTATCCCCATGGTTAAGACAATCGTATGCGCTAAATCCTACTCTAGGTAACATAAATCAAGAAAACTTGCCCTAATCTGCACTATTGTAGCCCGACAAATCTATATTTCAATCTGTTGACTACGGGGAGAAGTTCTTATGGAGGAGATTATTTATCAAATCGATAATGATGTGGTGAGCGTGATGCTCAATGGCAGACGAGGTGTAGATTCAACACAAGGTCAAGGACACAAGCGACATAAGTCTTTGGGATTCTGTTTTAGATCGATTAAGATCAAACTAAAAATAGAGAAATGGTCTGTACAAACCATACGCTTTAAAGTCATCCATTATGGTGTACGTCTTTTGGTGGTATAGATTTGGATAGGACAAGTGCTGCATCTTCTGGTTGTGTACATGGATGGGACAAATACTGCATCTGTTGGTTCTGTATAAGTGGATTGGACGATGATTCTCCATTTTAAAACAATCAATTATGATTTTTCATGAACCATTTGATTGCATGCAATGCTAGAATACTTCCAGTGTCCCCCAACACACACATACATTTTTTTTAAAATAGAACGTGTCGTCATTCTTCTGGCTTTCATTGTGTTGTATAGATATTGTTGGTTTTACCTTTTTCAACAATATATATATATATTTGAAATAAAATATGCCTTTGTCGGACTTACTTTTATGGATCGCTTTTCATAAAATATTGGTTGATAACACTGGTCGGGGTTTTTTTAAACTGACTCTATTGTTTTGAAAAATGTCAACCAGATCCACGTCATTATGGATACCAGCACTGTTGACAACGTTTAGGTGGATTGATAACTATGTCAATGTGGATAGCAGAAATGTTGATAATTATGTCAACTTGAATAGAAGAAGTCTTTTAGATCCATGCCAATGTGGATAGAAGTCTTGAAATACATGTCAGTGTGGATAGAAGTCTTGAGATCCATATCAATGTGGATAGAAGTCTTGAGATCCATGTCAGTGTGGATAGAAGTCTTGAGATCCATGTCAGTGTGGATAGAAGTCTTGAGATCCATGTCAGTGTGGATAGAAGTCTTGAGATCCATGTCAGTGTGGATAGAAGTCTTGAGGTCCATGTCAGTGTAGATAGAAGTCTTGAGATCCATGTCAGTGTGGATAGAAGTCTTGAGATCCATGTCAATGTGGATAGAAGTCTTGAGATACATGTCAATGTGGATAGAAGTCTTGAGATACATGTCAGTGTGGATAGAAGTCTTTAGGTCCATGTCAGTGTGGATGGAAGTCTTGAGATCTATGTCAATGTAGATGGAAGAAGTCTTGAGATCCATGTCAGTGTGGATAGAAGTCTTGAGATCCATGTCAATGTGGATGGAAGAAGTCTTGAGATCTATGTCAATGTGGATGGAAGAAGTCTTAAGATCCATGTCAATGTGGATAGAAGTCTTGAGATACATGTCAGTGTGGATAGAAGTCTTTAGGTCCATGTCAGTGTGGATGGAAGTCTTGAGATCTATGTCAATGTAGATGGAAGAAGTCTTGAGATCCATGTCAGTGTGGATAGAAGTCTTGAGATCCATGTCAATGTAGATGGAAGAAGTCTTGAGATCCATGTCAATGTAGATGGAAGAAGTTTTGAGATCCATGTCAATGTAGATGGAAGAAGTCTTGAGATCCATGTCAATGTAGATGGAAGAAGTCTTGAGATCCATGTCAATGTGGATAGAAGTCTTGAGATCCATGTCAATGTAGATGGAAGAAGTCTTGAGATCCATGTCAATGTAGATGGAAGAAGTCTTGAGATCCATGTCAATGTAGATGGAAGAAGTCTTGAGATCCATGTCAATGTAGATGGAAGAAGTCTTGAGATCCATGTCAGTGTGGATAGAAGTCTTGAGATCCATGTCAATGTGGATAGAAGTCTTGAGATCCATGTCAATGTAGATGGAAGAAGTCTTGAGATCCATGTCAATGTAAATGGAAGAAGTCTTGAGATAAATGTCAATACGGATGGAAGGAGTCTTGAGATAAATGTCAATACGGATGGAAGGAGTCTTGATATCCATGTCAATGTAGATGGAAGAAGTCTTGAGATCCATGTCAGTGTGGACAGCGTAAACGAAGCGTCACTAGCCCGGATGTTTCCCCAGCAACGTGCACGTCACCAGTGCCATTTTCTGACCTCGTCCAATTGTCAAAATAACCGTCATTAGCTGAGCTGAATTCTCAGAGGATGAGCTCCCTTGTACTTGCCCCCCTCCCCCCCCCCACCCTTTTTTTGTCGTCTGTGTGTCAGCGGATTGAGCATGACACGTTGCAGGGGTGAACAGGGCAGGGGGGGGGGATTGGTCATTGTAGAATGTCAATGTTAACAGCTGATGGGAATATAGTAACAGTATTATGTTTGCCTGTATGATTAATTCACTTAATAATAGTATTATGTTTGACTGTAATGATAAATTCATTTAGTGACATTATTATGTTTGACAGTATGATACATTCACTTAGTGATAGTATTATGTTTGACAGTATGATACATTCACTTAGTAACAGTATAATGTTTGACAGTATGATACATTCACTTAGTGATAGTATTATGTTTGACAGTATGATACATTCACTTAGTAACAGTATAATGTTTGACAGTATGATACATTCACTTAGTGATAGTATTATGTTTGACAGTATGATACTTTCACTTAGTGACAGTATTATGTTTGACAATATGATACATTCACTTAGTGACAGTATTATGTTTGACAGTATGATACATTCACTTTGTGACAGTATTATATTTGACAGTATGATACATTCACTTAGTGACAGTATTATGTTTAACAGTATGATGCATTCACATAGTGACAGTATTATGTTTGACAGTATGATGCATTCACTTAGTGACAGTATTATGTTTGACAGTATGATACATTCACATAGTGACAGTATTATGTTTGACAGTATGATACATTCACATAGTGACAGTATTATGTTTAACAGTATGATACATTCACATAGTGACAGTATTATGTTTGACAGTATGATGCATTCACTTAGTGACAGTATTATGTTTGACAGTATGATACATTCACATAGTGACAGTATTATGTTTGACAGTATGATACATTCACATAGTGACAGTATTATGTTTGACAGTATGATACATTCACTTAGTGACAGTATTATGTTCGACAGTTTGCTACATTCAGATTGAGTTTGATCAACTGTCTAGAAACAAGGCTCCGCCCTTCATATTTGGTTGGCTGGAAGACTTGAGTTATCAGAAATAGGTTTTGTTTTAATTTCAACCATGGACAACCGTCAATGAATATTCCCATTCATTGAGACACCATCTTATTGTGTACCAAATATTCCCATTCATTGAGACACCATCTTATTGTGTACCAAATATTCCCATTCATTGAGACACCATCTTATTGTGTACCAAATATTCCCATTCATTGCGACACCATCTTATTGTGCACCAAATATTCCCATTCATTGAGACACCATCTTATTGTGTACCAAATATTCACATACATTGAGACACCATCTTATTGTGTACCAAATATTCCCATTCATTGAGACACCATCTTATTGTGTACCAAATATTCCCATTCATTGAGACACCATCTTATTGTGTACCAAATATTCCCATTCATTGCGACACCATCTTATTGTGTACCGAATATTCCCATTAATTGCGACACCATCTTATTGTGTACCGAATATTCCCATTAATTGAGACACCATCTTATTGTGTACCAAATATTCCCATTCATTGAGACACCATCTTATTGTGTACCAATTTTTCCCATTCATTGAGACACCATCTTATTGTGTACCAAATATTCCCATCAATTAGACACCATCTTATTGTGTACCAAATATTCCCATCTTTGAGACACCATCTTATTGTGTACCAAAATATTCCCATTCATTGAGACACCATCTTATTGTGTACCAAATATTCCCATCAATTAGACACCATCTTATTGTGTACCAAATATTCCCATCAATTAGACACCATCTTATTGTGCACCAAACATTCCCAATCATTGAGACACCATATTATATTGCACCTACATTTATCTACAATTCCACCCTTTAATACTCAACTCTCTTTTTCAAATCTCTCTAACACTCTCTTTTAACACTCTCTCTAACACTCTCTTTTACCACTCTCTCTAAAACTCTCACCCCTGACTCTTTAACTTTCTTATGCCTCGTTGTTAACTTTCGTATGTGTCATTGTTAACTTTCCTATGACTCGTTGTTAACTTTCCTATGACTCGTTGTTAACTTTCAAATGCCTCGTTGTAAACTTTCCTATGCCTCGTTGTTAACTTTCTTATGCCTCGTTGTTAACTTTCCTATGTCTCATTGTTAACCTTCTTATGTCTCGTTGTTAACTTTCCAATGCCTCGTTGTTATCTTTCCTATGCCTCGTTGTTAACTTTCCTATGCCTCGTTAACTTTCTTATGCCTCGTTGTTAACTTTCGTATGCCTCGTTGTTAACTTTCTTATGTCTCGTTGTTAACTTTCCTATGTCTCATTGTTAAGCTTCTTATGTCTCGTTGTTAACTTTCCAATGCCTCGTTGTTAACTTTCCTATGCCTCGTTAACTTTCTTATGCCTCGTTGTTAACTTTCTTATGCCTCGTTGTTAACTTTCTTATGCCTCGTTGTTAACTTTCTTATGCCTTGTTTTTAAATTTCTTATGCCTCGTTGTTAACTTTATTATGCCTCATTGTTAATTTTCCTATGTCTCGTTGTTAACTTTCCTATGTCTCGTTGTTAACTTTCGTATGCCTCTTTTTAACTTTCGTATGCCTCGTTGTTAACTTTCTTATGCCTCGTTGTTAACTTTCTTATGCCTCGTTGTTAACTTCCCAATGCCTCGTTGTTAACTTTCTTATGTCTCGTTGCTAATTTTCCTATGCCCCGTTGTTAACTTTCCTATGCCCCGTTGTTAAATTTCCTATACCTCTTTGTTATCTTTCCTATACTGCATTGTTAACTTTCCTATGTCTCGTTGTTAACTTTCCTATACCTCGTTCTTAACTTTTCTATGTCTCATTGTTAACCTTCTTATGTCTCGTTGTTAACTTTCTTATGCATCGTTGTTAACTTTCCTATGCCTCGTTGTTAACTTTCCAATGCCTCGTTGTTAATTTTCCAATGCCTCGGGTGTTAACTTTCCTATACCTCGTTGTTAAGTTTCCTATGTCTCATTGTTAACCTTCTTATGTCTCGTTGTTAACTTTCCTTTCCCTCGTTGTTAACTTTCCAATGCCTCGTTGTTAACTTTCTTATGCCTCATTGTTAACTTTCTTATGCCTCGTTGTTAACCTTCTTATGCCTCATTGTTAACTTTCCTATGCCTCGTTGTTAACTTTCTTATGCCTCTTTGTTAACTTTCTTATGCCTCGTTGTTAACTTTCTTATGCGTCGTTGTTAACTTTCTTATGCCTCGTTGTTAAATTTCTTATGCCTCGTTGTTAACTTTCTTATGCCTCGTTGTTTACTTTCTTATGCCTCGTTGTTAACTTTCCTATGTCTCGTTGTTAACTTTCCTATGTCTCGTTGTTAACTTTCTTATGCCTCGTTGTTAACGTTCCTATGCCTCGTTGTTAACTTTCCTATGCCTCGTTGTTAACTTTCTTATGCCTCGTTGTTAACTTTCTTATGCCTCGTTGTTAACTTTCTTATGCCTCGTTGTTAAATTTCTTATGCCTCGTTGTTAAATTTCTTATGCCTTGTTAAATTTCTTATGCCTCGTTGTTAATTTTCCTATGTCTCGTTGTTAACTTTCCTATGTCTCGTTGTTAACCTTCTCGTGGCTAATTTTCTTATGCCCCGTTTCCATAGTCTACTTTGAATCGTTCAGATCTGAACGATAACTGCCATATGGCAGTTTGGTGTGGACACGTGACTCTAACTCACGTGCGAGGCTGTCGACTTGTGTAAACACAGAGTTCAAAGGTTGAGGCTAAATAAGGCTCACCCACCCCCCCCCCACCCCACCGTTTGCCGTACATAATGACAGATAAGTTCCTATAATTACGAGGGCGTGCGTTAAGTGTTAGTATTAATATGGCAGACGGGACTGGCTGTTTCTCAACATACACCCACCCACCACCCATTCTGTTGTACGGCTCACATACTTTTTCCTCTTGTTCTTTTTCTACTTTTAGTAAGAATTCCGTCCCCTTGAGTCCTTATCATCCAATTGATTAGCATTATTTTTTAACCTGTGTTTATGTTTAGTTTTCGCTAATATTTAGTTACAGCATGGAGTTATGTACGTTTTTTAGCGACCCCCCTCTCTATCTTGAATATTTACCGAGATTTATTTGTTGATGACAATTCTCCACACATTACTTTCCTATTCTCTCTCTGAACATAAACCCAACACCAGTATCTCTCTACATACCCATGTCTCCAAGATCTTTTTATTTGAATTTCAATTTGACCTTTATTACATCTTCCATCTTTACCAAATACAGTCATCAATAAAGTCTGTCACGTTAAATTACCCCCTGCCGCTAACACACATCTTTACCAAATACAGCCATCAATAAAGTCTGTCAGGTTAAATTACCCCCTGCCACTAACACACACAGACACACACAGGCACACACAGACACACACACACATTTTCCCCATTTGACACCTGCACTTTCCTTGGATATGGATGATATTTGAAATAATACACACTCACACTAAAACAGTGCAAAGTCTATCCATCATATTGCTTCCTGAAGTTGTATTTCTACTTAAAGTTGATTCTCTATGTTGCTAAGATGGTTGTTACGATGATTGTCTCGGTAGCTAAGATCATTGTCTCGGTTGCTAAGATGATTGTATCGGTTGCTAAGATCATTGTCTCGATTGCTTAGATCTTCGTCTCGGTCTCTAAGATCATTGTTTAAAGATAAGATATCAACGATTATTTTAAAGTTTAATAAACAATAAATGTTACGTAAACGTAATGACATTGTTAATAAACCTGCTGTTAAAGGAAGCTGTTGTAGTGATTAAACCTGATGATAAAGAAGTTTGTTGTCGTAGTGATTCAACCTCCTGTTAAAGGGGGCTGTTGTAGTGATTTAACCTGATGATAAAGGTGCTGCTGTCGTAGTTTGGAACAAAAGCTGATACATTGAAAAAGCTGATACATTGAAAAAGCTGATACAGTGAAAAAGCCAATGAGCAATTAGAGGATACACCATTCTATACGCCCACCAAGAATGACACGAGTGTCCACAACGATGACACGAGTGTCCACAACAATGACACGAGTGTCCATAATGACACGAGTGTCCACAATGACACGAGTGTCCACCACAATGACACGAGTGTCCACCACAATGACACGAGTGTCCACAACAATGACACGAGTGTCCACAACTTTGACACGAGTGTCCACAACAATGAAACTTTGCGACGAACAATAGAACAACTCATGGACGAATCAACACTTCCAGAATCGGCTTCTACTCTACACATATTCAATAGTGACCTGTTCAAACCTTCCTTCTATTACTACCGAAGTCTACATATATTCAATAGTGACCTGGTCAAACCTTCCTTCTATTACTACCGAAGTCTACATATATTCAATAGTGACCTGGTCAAACCTTCCTTCTATTTACTACCGTAGTCTACATATATTCAATAGTGACCTGGTCAAACCTTCCTTCTATTACTACCGAAGTCTACATATATTCAATAGTGACCTGGTTAAACCTTCCTTCTATTACTGACGAAGTCTACATATATTCAATAGTGACCTGGTCAAACCTTCCTTCTATTACTACTGAAGTCTACATATATTCAATAGTGACCTGGTCGAACCTTCCTTCTATTTACTACCGAAGTCTACATATATTCAATAGTGACCTGGTCGAACCTTCCTTCTATTACTACCGAAGTCTACATATATTCAATAGTGACCTGTTCAAACCTTCCTTCTATTACTACCGAAGTCTACATATATTCAATAGTGACCTGGTCAAACCTTCCTTCTATTACTACCGAAGTCTACATATATTCAATAGTGACCTGTTCAAACCTTCCTTCTATTACTACCGAAGTCTACATATATTCAATAGTGACCTGGTCAAACCTTCCTTCTATTACTACCGAAGTCTATATATATTCAATAGTGACCTGGTCAAACCTTCCTTCTATTTACTACCGAAGTCTACATATATTCAATAGTGACCTGGTCAAACCTTCCTTCTATTTACTACCGAAGTCTACACATATTCAATAGTGACCTGTTCAAACCTTCCTTCTATTTGCTACCGAAGTCTACATATATTCAATAGTGACCTGTTCAAACCTTCCTTCTATTTACTACCGAAGTCTACATATATTCAATAGTGACCTGGTCAAACCTTCCTTCTATTTACTACCGAAGTCTACATATATTCAATAGTGACCTGTTCAAACCTTCCTTCTATTACTACCGAAGTCTACATATATTCAATAGTGACCTGGTCAAACCTTCCTTCTATTACTACCGAAGTCTACATATATTCAATAGTGACCTGGTCAAACCTTCCTTCTATTACTACCGAAGTCTACATATATTCAATAGTGACCTGGTCAAACCTTCCTTCTATTACTACCGAAGTCTACATATATTCAATAGTGACCTGGTCAAACCTTCCTTCTATTTGCTACCGAAGTCTACACATATTCAATAGCGAACATGGCAAACCTTCTTTCTATTTACTACCGACGTCTACACATATTATTCAATAGTGACCTTGACAAACCTTCCTTCTCTTTGCTACCGAAGTCTACCTATATTCCATAGTGACCTTGACAAACCTTCCTTCTCTTTGCTACCGAAGTCTACCTATATTCCATAGTGACCTTGACAAACCTTCCTTCTATTTGCTACCGAAGTCTACACATATTCAATAGTGACCTTTGCAAACCTTCTTTCTATTTCCTCCAGATTGAAGACTTAAAAAAAATTAATCCAGGTTTTTGGCACCATATCTCCATATGGAATTAATCATATTACTCATGATCATCAAAGTTCGTTATACTTCTTTTGTCATATTATGTATGTTTGTAATGCATTTTTGTCGGTTAAAAACTATAATTTTACATTAATGACACCAAAATTCGTTGCATTCCAGCAATCTTCTGGATAGTACACTTGTCTCAGTATTTGGACAACCTAACTTCCGTCAATAATAACTTCCGCTTCCACCATCTCCTTCCAACATGGCGAACATCTGACGTTTACGTGTTTAAACTCATTTCTATTTCATTATTTTTGTCTCGTCTGATGAAGAAAGCTTTAAGCCGAAACGAACTCCTTTTCTTGTCTTTTCTTGTCTTTTCTTGTCTTTTCTTGTTTCATTTCCACTATTTCTATTTAGAGTTTAGACTGTCGACCAATGTTTCTTTCAGCCAATGGGCTCCGGCAAAAGGGGGGGGGAGATGTTCGGTTGGGCAGTGACAGTTGCTAACAAAGAGCGGGATNATGGAGGGACGTTAGTGTTACACATATGGCGGATTTAATGGGATTAGGGTCAGACGTTCACTACTGCGAGGCAGGTCCACTGTTTTCTCAAGCTCCACCACCTGGTGCATGAACGAGGATCGCTTTAGTCTCCTGCCTGCCACCTGATTTGTAATGGTTATACTACGGCCAAGATCTCTACAGCAGCTGTGGAGTTAGGTCAACAATGCAGACACAAATCTGGCGGGGAGGGGAGGGGGGTTAATTTTATCTTGCGGCAGCCTTTTCCTTAGATTTTTTTATAGTTGAAGGGGGCGAAAAAATCTTGACCTGCCCAGAGTGGCATTTGTTCTAACCACTCCACTTGGCGAACATGATCACCTATAACTCCACCCCTTTCACCCAATACAAACTAAATTAATTTTAGTTGACCGTATACTTTAGGTCCCAGCTAAGTTTTACCCATTAAATCTATCCAGCATAACAGCTATCTAGCCTAGGTATCCAGCACAAGATTAAATGAAAATAATAAACGAAGTGGCTATTCGCACCCTGGTACCAGAAGTGAGAGGTTGGGATTAAAAAAAACAATTAAAAATATTATTGTTGGGTTTGTAAGACAAAAATGAGGTATCGGATGAAACCTCTCACTCCTGGTAACCGGGTACGAATAGTCGCAGCCAATAATAAATGTTCAGTGTCGAAACTGCTCATAATGACTAACAATCCAGTGTCGTTGTCTTGTTGTAAAAGTACCACACTGACGTTTTGTGTAGCGCATGCGGGTTGAAAGAGAGGGCGGCGATGGCTACCGAGCAAAGACTGGGGGAATCAGGGGAGGGGGCTTACATCCAAAATGAACGGGTGCGATACCTGATCATAATTGTTTCTTTCAGAAAAATCGATCCAGGAAAGGGGGGGGGGGATAACATCTATCAACGTGCAAATGGGCATTTTGGCACCCAGTGTCAAGTGGGTGTCATACATGACCTGAATTCAATGCGTCTCAGGGTTGTTGTTTTTTTGTTGTTTTTTTTTTCTTGTTCCCAGTTTAGTTTCCCCATGCCTAGATTATACAATGAACACCCTGACCTATTTTCAAAAGTTGCTCTTTATGGTCATGATGTATAGACTTTTTATAGCGATGGAAAAATAGTTTAATTTGGTACAGTTCAGAGTACAACTCAGAGTATATACCACACTTTGCCACATAATGTAAGTCTTTAAACAAGGTACTTTTCTCCCTCCACCCCAAAAAAAAAAAAATATTATAATTATTCTGGTTTTAAAAAATATATGCTAACAACATCAAATATATTTAGCATAGTGCTTTATCATTGGTGACCTCATTTATCTCATTTGAATAGGTTCAAGGCAAAGGGAAACTTTTTTTTTTATTGTTATAAAAATGATAATATTGATGTCAGAATGATATTTTTAGCTTTATTTTCGGAATGTTCCGTCTCCGGGGCTGGGGTGGGCAGCTGACTTGTAGCAACCAATAATAAACAAGAAAACACCGATATCATTAAAGAACGGAAGTAGTGGTGTGGCTTACAGTAGGGGGCCGCTGATTGGTGGATAGAAACACTACAGGCGGCCAGCTGTCCACAATAAGAAATACTTTTTAAAGGGTCGTTCGCTAATTACGTCACGCCAAACAGGACATTTTCAGACCCCCCCTTCCACCCTGTCACAAAGTGTCACAAATTCTTTATCGCCCGCCCCCTCCCCTTTTAGTGTCACGTCACACCTAAAAAAATTTCAAAACATAAATAAAATGTTCATAACTAAACTGAGATAATATTTTATTCGTTAACATTTCCCCACAATGGATTAGGATGCTGTGTTATTAGAAAACTGTGACGTAAAACAGCGAAGTCCTCCCCAAGCCGAATGTAAAATGGCCACAACAGTTTTTGCGTCATTTTTCGATGTGTGCAGAAATTGTGCGCGACCGAGTTTCATGGTACTTACAATATCTGAGGCAATGTCGAACTCAATTTTAATGTTTTTTTTTAAATTACTTGAATACAGATTTTTCAAAATTAGAATTTTTTTTTTTAAAATGGGACGTAACACATTTTTACCCCCCCCCCCTGTCACAGAGTGTTACAAATTTTTTTAAATTACTTGAATACAGATTTTTCAAAATTAGAATTTTTTTTTTTAAAATGGGACTAAACACATTTTTACCCCCCCCCCCTGTCACAGAGTGTTACAAATTCTCGAACCCTCCCCCCCCCCCTAAGTGTGGCGCAACTAGTGAGCGAACCCTAATATATTTTAGCTTGAACCCATAAAAATAATTAAATATTGTTGTTTTTAAATTAAAAAAACTGTATTATAGTACATTTCATTTTAATTAATTTTTGTTTTTTTTGTTTAACAAAAATTATTTCCCATACAAAATTAAATTGGGCCTCACACTGTGACTCACAATGGGTCTCACACCATTCAAATCAAAGAACCGCTTGCGTACTTTGGTTTACAAATATGTTGCCATGAAACAATGCAAAGATGGCAACAAAATATGCTGAGGACGCATGCGCCAGAACATTGTAATTAACGTGATGATTCCAAATACCAAGTTGTCGTGTGTGAGTGTATGTGTGTGTGGGGGTGTGGGTGCGTGGGATTTTGAGCACGTGTCTCAGAGTCTCGTGACAGTTTGTAAAACGACAAGAACACGTGATCCTTGTGCCGGATGGAATGAACACGTGATCCTTGTGTCGTGTGACATGAACACATGTATCGTAGACAGGGAGTGCAATGGCGATACTACGGGCTCTGTGACAAAACAGATGGTGCTACGTTAGAAACGTGGAAAAGTTGATAAAATAGATGGCGCTACGTTAGAAGTATGTCAGATGCTCTGGAAGCGCTTGAAGGGACAGTCAGCATTGGTGGCAGAATAATCACCAACCTAAGCTTTGCGGACGACATAGACGGACTGGCTAGTTGCGAAGAAGAGCTAGCCAACCTGGTAAAGCGTCTCGATAAGACCTCGTCGTCCTACGGCATGCTAATCAGTGCTGAAAAGACAAAACTGATGACAAATAATACCACAGGCATCACCACTGAAATTAAGGTCGGGGAGGTAAGACTTAGAGACTGTAGGTCGCTTCAAATACCTTGGAGCAATAGTCTCAGAAGAAGTTTCCAAACCCGAACTGATGTCCAGGATTGCGCAGACTACAACAACACTAAAGAGGCTCAAGAAAATATGGAATGACAAAAATATAGCCTCCAGCACCAAAATCAGGCTGATGCGCTCATAAGTCCTCTCCATTTTCCTGTATGCCTGCGAATCCTGGACATTAACATCCGATCTTGAAAGGAAAATAAAGGCGATGGAGATGAGATGCTTCAGAAGCATTTTTGGCATCTGCTATAGGGACCATATCTCCAATGATACAGTGAAAGAAAGGGTTCGCCTGGCAATTGGGGAGTACGATGACCTCCTGGTGACTGTGAAAAAACGCAAATTACAATGGTACGGCCACGTAACAAGGAAACAAGGGCTTGCCAAAGAAATATTGCATGGCACCACAAGAGGAGGGAGAAGAAGGGGAAGACAAAGAAAAAGATGGGAGGAAAACATCAAAGAGTGGACAGGACTAGCACTGGGCGATGCAGTACGTAGTACCGAAGACAGAGACGAAAGGGGGATAGTTCACATGTCATCTGTGGCCCCCCAACGGTCCAAGGACTAAGGGACATGATGATGACGGTGATGATGATGATGTTAGAAAGATTGAAAAGCTGATAAGATAGATGTCGCTGTGTTAGATGATGAATGTTATGCTTGAAGTTTGTTTGGTTTGTGAATGTTACTTTGAAACATGTTCTCCTCTAAGTTTGAGCACCTGTGGGTACAGTGAGACATGGCCAATCTACGCGTTCAGTTGGCACGGCCATGCGCTGTTGATGGGATGTATAAAATCTAATGGATGGGGCCGTACATATCACGTAATGATACGATTGTTATGTACAGTATATTACAGCTTGTTTAGTTGGAGTAGTGTTTAAGTTAAACATGAACTTAATATAACTAAAAATAAACTTGTAATAAAATATTTTTTAATTTTCACATTTATGAAGGGATAACATTCTTTCTTTTATATTGAGGGTTGGGTGGTGGGAGGGGGAGGGGCATTTTCGCCCAGTACAGAGTTATTGTTGTTTAACAAGCATTAACATATAGTTAAACATGAACGTATAGTTAAAAATTAACCTATTGTCAAACATTAACCTATTGTGAAACATTAACCGATTTTTCCCGAAAGGTTTGGCGGGCTTCTTAAATGTTTCTTCGGGCCGTAGATTGCACAACCCTGTTGAAGATGTTGCTGCTGTCATAAATGTGGGCCATGATTATTGTAGTGTAAGTAAGTAGGAATATCGTTTTCTGTTTCTTCCCTATTTCATCACTTCAGTGGTCCCCGTGTGGACATATTCCCACTTCTCAGTTGTACTCTGCCCCCCATCCCACCCCGTTTCCTGGACAGAGTAATTGGTCTTGGATCCACCCACGAATGTCAATATGGCAACTCCCAGTGCGTTGTCAAGTTAGGTATAAGGTGATCCTAACCGAGCTGGGGGCGAGATACACTCCTGTTGAACACGTGATCCTCGCGTGAAATGCTAGTTCAGGGGTTCTTAAAGCTCGACTTTTTTATTACACTGACGAGCTAGGCTCTTAAAGTTTGAGAATTAGTTTGATAAAACTGACAAAATTAGGGCAATTGTTCCCAGCCTGTAGTGCATGCTCTGTCTGTATATAGTTCCCAGTCTATAGTGCTCTGTCTGTACAAAGTTTCCAGTCTGTAGTGCATGCTCTGTCTGTATATAGTTCCCAGTCTATAGTGCTCTGTCCGTACAAAGTTCCCAGTCTATAGTGCTCTGTCCGTACAAAGTTCCCAGTCTATAGTGCTCTGTCCGTACAAAGTTCCCAGTCTATAGTGCTCTGTCCGTACAAAGTTCCCAATCTATAGTGCTCTGTCCGTACAAAGCTCCCAGTCTATAGTGCTCTGTCCGTACAAAGCTCCCAGTCTATAGTGCTCTGTCCGTACAAAGTTCCCAGTCTATAGTGCTCTGTATGTACCTTGACTTTTAGCTACAAAGATTTCTTTCAAGAGACTCTTGTTGATACCAATTCACTCACTTTACCAGTCCTAAACTCACTTGACATGTCCTAATCTCACTTTACTAGTCCTAAACTAACTTGACATGTCCTAATCTCACTTTACCGGTCCTAAATTCACTTGACATGTCCTAATCTCACTTTACTAGTCCTAAACTCACTTTACCATGTCCTAATATCATTTTACCAGTCCTAAACCCACTTGATCATGTCCTAATCTCACTTTACCGGTCCTACAGTCACTTGACCATGTCCAAATATCACTTTACCAGTCCTAAAACCCACTTGACCATGTCCTAAACTGACTTTACCTTTTCATGAAAAATAATGTGTCAGAAAATGGGTTGAAGGGGGCGCTCCAAACAAGGCGCCACTTTTTCCCTTCATTTGGGGGAGCGGCATTTTCTGCCCATTGGAGGGGTTTATCGTGCGAGGGGGGTGGGGAAAAATCTTTAACCGACCCGGGCGGCATTTAACCTAGCTACGCCTCTGTCATGTAAAGCCCTTATACATACCACTCAACGACAACATTCAACGACAACACTCAACGACAACACTCAACTACAACACTCAGTTACAACACTCAGCTACACCACTCAAGTTCTAAACTCAAACACAACACTCAACTACAACACTCAGTTACACCACTCAGCTACACCACTCAAGTTCTAAACTCAAACACAACACTCAACTAAAACACTCAAACATAAAACTCATTTACAAAACTCAACTACAACACTCAAATGCAACACTCAACTTCAACACTCAAACATAACACTCATCTACAACACTCAACTAAAACACCCAAAACATTACACTCATCTACAACACTCAACTAAAACACTTAAACATAACACTCAACTTCAACACTAAAAAATAACACTGAATTAAAACACTCAAACATAACACTCATCTAAAACACTCAACTACAACGCTCATACATAGGCCTACCTCTCAACTACAACACTCAAAGATAACACTTGCACATAACGCTTAACTACAGCACTCAACTTCTACACTCAAACATAACACTTAATATCTACACTCAAACATAACACTCAAAATCTACACTCAAACATAACACTCAACTTCTACACTCAAACATAGCAGTCAACTTCTACACACAACTCATGTACAACAGATATTTCCTATTGCCTCCTTCTAATCAAACATTTTACAAACACAGCGTTGAGCCGCCATGTTTTGTTGATCCATTGTCTATGCCTAACATAAGTGCCGCACACTTGTCTCCCTTGCCAAGTGTTCGATCACAAACCTTTTATCCCCCCTCATCCGTTTGGCTGCTCGGCCCGTAACTCCCATCGACTGCTGCTGCTTGCTATTCAATTCTCGTTCATTCATATTTTACCAAGTGGATGACAACGTGTAAGTGTAAATGGGAGGTAGAAAAAATGGCGTTGTGAAAAGAGGCTATTGCCAGGTAACCGCTGTGCATTACCAGTAGGTAACCCCTGGGCATTGCCAGGTAACCACTGCAAATGGCCAGGTAACCACTGCAAATGGCCAGGTAACCACTGCAAATGGCCAGGTAACCACTGCGCTCGTTGCCAGGAGGTAACCACTGCGCACTGCAAGGAGATAACCACTGCGATAACCACTGCGCCTTGCCAGGCAACAACTGTGCATGTCCAGGCAACCACTGCGCATTGCCAGGCAACCACTGTACATTGCCAAACACTAGATATTCAATCATTGCGATCGATCTAAATGTCATCTCCAGGTATCAACCCGAAAACTACTTCTCTCCTTCCTTCTGCACTAGGCCTCTGAATGACGTCATATGGGTATTTTATTTCGACGAGGTTTAAGTTTTCTTTGACAGCCAGGTTTCTCGGCTTCCACCATTGTGTACGTGTTTTTGTCGGTGTCCACAATATCAACATCTTCACAGCTGTCACTGTAATCCAGAAGATGCGATGCAGGGGCGTAATTGGGGCACTCGGCTAATGGGACACGGGGGGGGGGGGGAACATTTATTTGTTATTTTGCCATCAAGTCCACAATATCAACATCTTCACAGCTGTCACTGGAATCCAGAAGATGCGATGGAGGGGCGTAATTGGGGCACTCGGCTAATGGGACACGGGGGGGGGGGGTAACATTTATTTGTTATTTTGCCATCAAGTTGTATCTTCAGTAATTATTAGGGATGCATTCACTGGGGTTGTTGTTTTTTCTGATGAGGGCTCGATCTGTCTCGCTGACTCGATCTGTCTTGCTGACTCGATCTGTCCTGCTGACTCGATCTGTCCTGCTGACTCGATCTGTCCTGCTGACTCGATCTGTCTTGCTGACTCGATCTGCCCTGCTGACTCGGTCTCTCCTGCTGACTCGATATGTCCCTCTGACTCGATCTGTCTTACCGGCTGAATGACGTTATGAAGAGAGCACTTGGTATGGGAAGTGTGCCTAGCTACCTCATAATCACGTGAAAAGATTCTTATTTATGGCTGGTGACTGTATGTTTGCACAAAATAATAGACTTCCTAGACAGCATCTGATGTGATCTTTAGTGGATGGAAACAATAATCTAGAACGAAGTGGCTATTCGTACCCGGGTACCAGAAGTGAGAGGTTGGGATTAAAAAACTATTTAAAATTTTAGTGTTGCGTTTGCAAGACAACATGAGGTATCACATGAAAGATAATTGAATGGAGTACATGTTTGTAAACTTAATTCTTCAGTTGAACTAAAATAAACTACCACAAATGACATCCGAATAGCACTGAGTCAAAATGGACCCAGACACGCAGCGCCGCCATCGGCACCCGGTTTAACTGAAGAACTAAGTTTACAAACATATCGTCCATTCATTTATCTTTCATTTGATACCTCATTTTGTCTTACAAACCCAACAATAATATTTTTTAAAGTTTTTTAATCCCAACCTCTCACTTCTGGTACCCGGTTACGAATAGTCGCAGCCAATCTAGAATATGGAGTCACATGGATGGTTTCTATACTTGGCCTATGCAAAAGTTGAGAGGAGAAAGCTTATAATTAATGAAACGATGGAACAAAATCTGACAAGACTTCACAATAGCAGTTTGACGATAACACATAGATGATAAAATCTAGATAACAGCTAAATGATAACAGCTAGATGATAACAGGAAGATTTTAGCGCAGCTTGCTTTCCGTTAGTACTCAGGTAACAACTTCTAGAAAGTCAGAAGCAGGTACTCACAGACTCCAACCCTGCAGCAGTTAGTCACTGACTCCAAGTCTCAAGCAGGTACTCACTGACTCAAGTCTGAAGCAGGTACTCACTGACTCCAAGTCTGAAGCAGGTACTCACAGACTCGAAGTCTGAAGCAGGTACTCACAGACTCGAAGTCTGAAGCAGGTACTCACAGACTCGAAGTCTGAAGCAGGTACTCACTGATTCCAACTGTGAGGTAGGTACTCACAGACTCCAACCCTGCAGCAGTTAGTCACTGACTCCAACTCTGTAGCAGGTACTCACTGATTCCAATTGTGAAGCAGGTACTCACTGACTCGAACTCTGTAGCAGGTACTCACTGATTCCTATTGTGAAGCAGGTACTCACTGACTCGAACTCTGTACCAGGTACTCACTGACTCCAACTCTGAAGCAGGTACTCACTGACTCCAAGTGTGCAGCAGGTACTCACTGACTTCCACTAATAATTGCTTTGTGGAGTGGTTCATGTCAATTCCTGTGGTTATTTTATATTGACGTCATTACAAAATTCCTTTCATTAATAATATTTATCTTCTTTTCATTTTTCTACAGGGTGTTTGCGATACTAGACCCTAGTCCATAGGACGTGCCAGGCACCATGCCTGCCCTGGGCGCCATGGAGGCATTGGTCAGACTCAGACGTCTGGCCATGGACGCATCAGTCACGGGGGCGCCATCTAGCGCTGATGAAACTTCCACCGCAGGGGAGCCGGAGCAGAAAGGGAAACTAGATGAGATTAAGGACTCCATCATGAATGAAATTAACAAATGTGAGTAATTTATACAATGACGTCACTGTCACTTTCTCATTATTAAAAACAAAACAATGACATTATTTACAGTGATCTGAAGAATCTTGCTGTCATTTCATTGAAATTATTTACAGTATTTTAAAGCAGTTAGCTGTCAGTTCATTGGCGTTATTTACAGTGTTTTAAAGCAGTTAGCTGTCAGTTCATTGGTGTTATTTACAGTGTTTTAAAGCAGTTAGCTGCCTAATCATTGTATACATATCTAGATCACTTGTGTTTCAGTGCCGATCTGGGCTATCATCCTAATCATTGCTGGGGCGCTGCTGTTTCTCTCCTGTTGTGTCTACTGCGTCTGTAGAAGATGCTGCAGGAAACGAAAGAAGAAGGAGGGCAAGAAAGGTCTGAAGGGGGCCGTGGATCTGAAGAGTGTACAGTTACTGGGAAACTCTTACAAAGAGAAGGTAAATAAATGACACATACTTTAGCAGACAATTTACTTTTAGAGTTGACACATTTTGATTCAGATCAGAAAATTCGGTTTTTCTTGGGGCACGGATGTCATCTGTTGGGACTGGATGATTTGTTAGTGTGTCAGCACAAAGGCATGCCATGGTGTGTTTCAGCACAAAGGCATGCTATGGTGTGTCAGCACAAAGGCATGCCATGGTGTGTGTGAGCACAAAGGCAGGACATGCATGTTAAACCCATGAATAAACGGTACAGAAATCAGGCATTTTGGTTAGATGGAATCATCAATCTAGGGACTCATCAATCTAGGGACTCATCAATCTAGGGACTCATCAATCTAGGGACTCATCAATCTAGGGACTCATCAATCTAGGGACTCATCAATCTAGGGACTCATCAATCTAGGGACTCATCAATCTAGGGACTCATCAATCTAGGGACTCATCAATCTAAGGTCTCATCAATCTAGGGACTCATCAATCTAGGGACTCATCAATCTAGGGGCTCATCAATCCAGGGACTCATCAATCCAGGGACTCATCAGTCTAGGGTCTCATCAGTCTAGGGACTCATCAGTCTAGGGACTCATCAGTCTAGGGTCTCATCAGTCTAGGGACTCATCAGTCTAGGGACTCATCAATCTAGGGACTCATCAATCTAGGGACTCATCAATCTAGGGACTCATCAATTTAGGGACTCATCAATCTAGGGAATCATCAATCTAGGGACTCATCAATCTAGGGACTCATCAATCTAGGGACGTTTCTCATCCACAAATCCAACTTTTTATGTTGTTCATCCGTCGCATTTGAAGATGACCAAGGCAATAGTCAACATTGAGCACCAGATGGCTTGTGAAGATGACCAAGGCTATAGTCAACATTGAGCACCAGATGGCTTGTGAAGATGACCAAGGCTATAGTCAACATTGAGCACCAGATGGCTTGTGAAGATGACCAAGGCTATAGTCAACATTGAGCACCATATGGCTTGTGAAGATGACCAAGGCTATAGTCAACATTGAGCACCAGATGGCTTGTGAAGATGACCAAGGCTATATTCAACTTTGAGCACGCATATGGCTTGTGAAGATGACCAAGGCTATATTCAAGTTTGAGCACGCATATGGCTTGTGAATATGACCAAGGCTATATTCAACTTTGAGCACGCATATGGCTTGTGAATATGACCAAGGCTATATTCAAGTTTGAGCACGCATATGGCTTGTGAATATGACCAAGGCTATATTCAACTTTGAGCATGCATATGGCTTGTGAAGATGACCAAGGCTATATTCAACTTTGAGCACGCATATGGCTTGTGAAGATGACCAAGGCTATATTCAACTTTGGGCTTGCAGGTGGCGTGGTAAGCTGTCCATGGCTATACTCAACTGTGAATACCCAGGTGGCTTGTGAAGATGACCAAGACTATAGTCAACAGTGAGCACGCAGGTGGCTTGTGAAAATGACTAAGGCTTTATTTAACTATGAGAATGCAAGTGGCTTGTGAAGATGACCAAATCTATACTGTGAGTTCGCAGGGAACGTGCCAGCCCTATTTGTTGTTGCAAAGCTTTACTGCACATAGGGTGCACTTGTTTTGGGGTCCTAGTTGGATTGGAGTCGATTCTGTTTTTCTTTGCTCTGCGTTTTCTCTGGGGGGAGGGGTACGGTTTCTCTCTGAGACTTGAGCTCCAACTGTAAGTCTGCCACATGAGAGCTTGTAGGACACAAAGCAAGTGTCTCCCAGGAATTAAGGTCAATGTCCATGGGTTTGAGTGAAGCTTTTAGGCTGTCCTTAAAGTGCTTGTTCTGCCCACCAGCTTAGTGTCTCCCTCGGGGGATTTCATCGGGGGATTTCATGGAACATTAATTGTTTAGGAAGTCTATTGTACTGCAATCTCGCAGCTACTCCGCCCATCTACAACTCCAACTATTAACATACACGAGACCAAACATTCTATTGTTTGGGCATTCTGAAACAATGACAGACAAATTCGTAGATGGGAGTTCTGGAAGTTGTTTAACATTGAAGGCGCTTACATAATGCGACATCGGTTTAACTTGCCCTGGAGAGTTTGGGTGTGTGTGTGGGGGGGGGGGGGGCTTCAGTTGATTCGCCATTAAACAAGACTCTCTCAGTTCTCGTAGCTTTGCCCATCATTGATTACGTATTTTAAATGACAGCAACGTTTCATGAATGTCTATGCAGGTGCTTTAACACAATTACACCAACACACCCCAAGATGTCACCAAATATGTCACTAAATATGTCACACACATATGTCACTAAAATAAATCCATAAAATGTACTTATGAACTGAAGAAAATGTCTTGATTTTATCCACGTGTTCCACATCCACGAACCAAACAGGTTCAACCAGACCTGGATGAGCTGCCGGTCAACATGGAGGATAACGAAGATGCCGAGAGCACCAAGTCCGAGGTCAAACTGGGCAAGCTTCAGTTCTCACTGGACTACGACTTCCAGAAAGGGGAGGTCAGTACAACAGTTTTAGTTTAGTGGACACTTCGTTTTAATCATTTTAATTGCCAGACTCAGTCATTCATTTTGCAATGATAATGGTGAACACAATTTGCTAATCAGGACATGTCATTTACTGAGAGTTTGGGGAATGCTCTTTGCTGAGAGTTTTGGGAATGCCCTTTACTGAGAGTTTGGGGAATGTCCTTTACTGAGAGTTTGGGGAATGCCCTTTACTGAGAGTTTGGGGAATGCCCTTTACTGAAAGTTTGGGGAATGCCCTTTACTGAGAGTTTGGGGAATGCCCTTTACTGAGAGTTTGGGGAATGCCCTTTACTGAGAGTTTGGGGAATGTCCTTTACTGAGAGTTTGGGGAATGTCCTTTACTGAGAGTTTGGAGAATGCCCTTTACTGAGAGTTTGGGGAATGTCCTTTACTGAGAGTTTTGAGAATGTCTTTTACTGAGAGTTTTGGGAATGTCCTTTACTGGGAGTTTTGGGAATGCCCTTTACTGAGAGTTTGGGGAATGTCCTTTACTGAGAGTTGTGGGAATGTCCTTTACTGAGAGTTGTGGGAATGTCCTTTACTGAGAGTTGGGGGAATGTCCTTTACTGAGAGTTGTGGGAATGTCCTTTACTGAGAGTTGTGGGAATGTCCTTTACTGAGAGTTGGGGGAATGCCCTTTACTGAGAGTTGGGGGAATGTCTTTTACTGAGAGTTGGGGGAATGTCCTTTACTGAGAGTTGGGGATTGCCCTTTACTGAGAGTTGTGGGAATGTCCTTTACTGAGAGTTGGGGGAATGTCTTTTACTGAGAGTTGTGGGAATGTCTTTTACTGAGAGTTGTGGGAATGTCCTTTACTGAGAGTTGTGGGAATGCCCTTTACTGAGAGTTGTGGGAATGTCCTTTACCGGGAGATTGGGGATGCCCTTTACTGAGAGTTTGGGGAATGTCTTTTACTGAGAGTTGGGGGATTGTCTTTTACTGGGAGTAAGGGGAAGGTCCTTTACTGGGAGTTTTGGAAATGCCCTTTACTGAGAGTTGGGGGAATGTCCTTTACTGGGAGTTTTGGGAATGCCCTTTATTGAGAGGTGGGGGAATGTCCTTTACTGAGAGTTTGAGGAATGTCCTTTACTGAGAGTTGGGGGAATGTCCTTTTCTGGGAGTTTTGGGAATGCCCTTTACTGAGAGTTTGGGGAATGTCCTTTACTGGGAGTTTGGGGATGCCCTTTATTACTGAGAGTTTGAGGAATGTCCTTTACTGAGAGTTGGGGGAATGTCCTTTTCTGGGAGTTTTGGGAATGCCCTTTACTGAGAGTTTGGGGAATGTCCTTTACTGGGAGTTTGGGGATGCCCTTTACTGAGAGTTTGAGGAATGCCCTTTACTGAGTGTTTGGGGAATGTCCTTTACTGAGAGTTTGGGGAATGTCTTTTACTGGGAGTAAGGGGAAGGTCCTTTACTGGGAGTTTTGGTAATGTCCTTTACTGAGAGTTTTGGGAATGCCCTTTACTGAGAGTTTGGGGAATGACTTTTACTGAGAGTTTGGGGAATGTCTTTTACTGGGAGTAAGGGGAAGGTCCTTTACTGGGAGTTTTGGAAATGCCCTTTACTGAGAGTTGGGGGAATATTCTTTACTGAGAGTTTTGGGAATGCCCTTTACTGAGAGTTGTGGGAATGTCCTTTACTGGGAGTTTGGGGAATGCGCTTTACTGAGAGTTTGAGGAATGTCCTTTACTGAGAGTTGGGGGAATTTCCTTTACTGGGAGTTTTGGGAATGCCCTTTACTAAGAGTTGGGGGAATGTCCTTTACTAATGATTTTTTAGGTGTGGACCCGAGGGGCGGAATAAGGGGTGGGTCAAAAAGAATTGGGGCAACTGTAAAATCTTTAAAATCTCATTCAGTTCAACAGTAACATTACCTCTATCTCATTCAGTACAACTGTAACATTCCCTCTATCTCATTCAGTACAACTGTAACATTTCCTCTATCTCATTCAGTACAACAGTAACATTCCCTCTATTCAATTCAGTACAACAGTAACATTTCCTCTACCTCATTCAGTGAAACATAACAATACCCCCCCCCCCCCCAATCTCGCCGTGTCTAACACACGCGTATTTATTGAACCATTCCTCCATCCCCCCCCACCCTCTCATTAAGACTCCCGCCATTTTGCGGACTGTTTGCGTGTGGGCAATGTTGTTTGATGCCAGTTTCTGAAGTGCTCACTACCGTCTGCTAAGATTGGGTGGGGCGGGACAGGGGTAATAGAGTTGTTTTTATTTCCACCCTATGTTAATGTAAATGAGTATTCATCAATGAAAAACGAAAGCATTGCTGACGATGTGGTCCAACGCTCGGTGATCACGTGACCGGGTGTGCTGTAAATTGTAAGCTGGATGGATGGACGAGTTTACAAGATAAACTGTTGGGCGACCTGATTCGTTTTCTACTAATTGAATTGGATCCATTGGGTTATATCGATTCGGTCGGATGGAATTGGTTTTTAATTTATTTTTGGGGGATTTTTAAATATTTTTTTGCCTTCTCACAAATGGAGGATAAAGAAATAGCCATTATCTCCCCTTGAATGGGTTAATGATTTCATGCAATCAATTGAATGAGCCAAACAGTAATCGTACTGTATCAGCAGATTTGTCTCACTAGATCTTCTTGTGCTGTGTCTATTTGTCTCACTATATCTTCTTGTACTGTGTCTATTAGTCTCACTATATCTTCTTGTACTGTGTCTAATTGTCTCACTATATCTTCTTGTACTGTGTCTAATTGTCTCACTATATCTTCTTGTACTGTGTCTAATTGTCTCACTATATCTACGAGAACAGACTTCATCAAGGTGTATGCATGCATAACATCAGATGGTGCCATCAGATGGTGCCATCAGATGGTGCCATCAGATGGTGCCATCAGATGGTGACATCAGATGGTGACATCAGATGATGACATCATATGGTGGCATCAGATGGGGGCATCTGATGGGGGCATCAGATGGTGGCATCAGATGGTGGCATCAGATGGTGGCATCAGATGGTGGCATCAGGTGGTGACATCAGATGGTGGCATCAGATGGTGACATCAGATGGTGACATCAGATGGTGACATCAGATGGTGACATCAGATGGTGACGTATGTCTAACTTCCAACAATAATGTTTTCCATGGTGTTATACGGTTGTGTTCTGAACCACTGTGGGGTGTTTAGGAAATATATTGAGGATCACTGGCTCATTCCCAGAATTGAAAAAATCCTTTTCAGTGACGTCATTTGTTCCTAGACCTAAATTGTGTCTGTGGGAACAGGTCTGACTTAACTGTGTCTGTTCTGACAGGTCTGACTTAATGGAACCAATCTATCTTCATTTCCTCAGAATCTAAGTCATAATATGGAACATATCCCATGATAAAGTTGGCTGTTGTTGTGCTGTCAGGTGTTCATTTTGTTCTCCCCACCCCAACTTGTTTGAATTTTGTCCTTAGATCACCTCTACATGGGCACCATTCTATCTGGTGTTATGGGGTGGGGGGGGGTGGCGATGACACGACAACTTGTTTGAATTTTGTCCTTAGATCACCTCTACATGGGCACCATTCTATCTGGTGTTATGGGGTGGGGGGGGGTGGCGATGACACGACAACTCGGTCGTCATTGGTGGTGACAGTGCATGTAAGAAATCAATGTTAAAGTAGTGTAACATGTCTTATGATGGAATACACGGCCTGGAAGTGATAGGCTGTGAGGTTCGTGGGGTGTAGATGATAGGAAGTGAGGCTTTTGAGTTGGAGATGATAGGCAGTGAGGTTTTTGAGGTGAAGATGATATGCTGGGAAGCTTTTTGGGTGGAGATGATAAGCTGTGAGGCTTTTGAGGTGGAGATGATAAGCTGTGAGGCTTTTGAGGTGGAGATGATAGGTAGTGAGGCTTTTTAGGTGGAGATGATAAGCTGTGAGGCTTTTGTGTTGGAGATGATAGTCAGTGAGACTCTTGGGGTTGAGATGATAGGTTTGTGCTTTCGTGTTAGTTTTCCCGGTGGCCATCTTAAATAATGAATGCCATGAGTTTTATCTTTGTTGTTCTTGAGCACAGTAGTTAGTAATGGGGAAAGGTTTAATTCACAGGAATTTATGGGTGATGTGGGATGAATAAGCTGAGCAAATTTCTTCTCAGACCTTTTCAGGATTATTACTGATTGTGTCTTTTCATAATTGTTTTAAAGGTAACACTTTTTATTTATTTATTTTTTTAATAAGGAGACTAGTGGTGTTTGACCTTAAGATGAATTCATGTGACTCTAGAAACAGGTGACTTTAGAAAATAATAGTTCAAAATGTGACTTTAGAGACAGGTGGTTTTCAAAAATAATAGTCTGTTACGAACCCGTTCTTACCAAGGTTCGTTTGCTTCGCTTTTTCTAAGGGTTCAACTGCCATTACTCCATCACAACCAACAACACAACCACAATATGTCATTTCCCCTTCTCAGAAAAAGGTCACAAAATACTAAGCATAATAGATAAAGATATACTCTCTAAACAACACACAACCACAATATACATTGAAGTCCTTAACACATTCCATGATATGACTTTAGAGACAGGTGGTTTCAGGAAATAATAGTTCATGATGTGATATGAGATGACTGAAGACGTGACTTATGATATTATACTTATGACTTATACTTATCATTGTTGGTGTGACATGGTATCATTTTAACTGTTTTTACTATCATGTTGTTGAGGATGTGTCTGATGACATGTTGTTGATGATGTGTCTGATGACATGTTGTTGATGATGTATCAGATGACATGGTTGTGCTGTTAGGTGTGATGTTCATCCAACAATTTCACTGAAGTTGACCCCTAACATTCCCAGCTCTCTGTGAATGTTATACAAGCAGCAGACCTTCCTGGCATGGACATGTCCGGCACCAGTGACCCGTATGTCAAGGTCTACTTGTTGCCAGATAAGAAGAAAAAATATGAAACCAAGGTCCACCGGAAGACACTCAACCCGGTTTTCAATGAAAGTTTCACCTTCAAGGTAATGAGATAGGTCTAATGTTTTAGCACCTTCATGGTAATTAGATAGGTCTAATATTTTAGCACCTTCATGGTATTTAAATAAGTCTAATGTCTTAGCACCTTCATGGTAATTAGATAAGTCTGTTTTTAGTATTTTCATTGTAATTAGATAAGTCTAATGTTTTATCACCTTCATGGTAATTAGATAAGTCTAATGTTTTATCACCTTCATGGTAATTAGATAAAACCAATGTTTTAGCAGCATCATGTAATTAGATAAGTCTAATATTTTAGCACCTTCATGGTAATTAGATAAGTCTAATGTTTTAGCACCTTCGTGGTAATTAGATAAAACCAATGTTTTAGCGGCATCATGTATAATTAGATAAGTCTAATATTTTAGCACCTTCATGGTAATTAGATAAGTCTAATGTTTAGCACATTCATGGTAATTAGATAAGTCTAATGTTTTAGCACCTTCATGGTAATTAGATAAGTCTAATGTTTTAGCACTTTCATGGTAATTAGATAAGTCTAATGTTTTAGCACCTTCATGGTAATTAGATAGGTGTAATGTTGAAAGCATCTTCATGGTAATTAGATAAGTCTAATGTTTTAGCACCTTCATGGTAATAAGTTGCTTCTGTTTTAATATCTTCATGGTATTAAAATAAGTCTAATATTCAGGCACCTTCATGGTAATTTAATATGTCTAATGTTTTAGCACCTTTATGGTAATTAGAAAAGTCTATTGTTTTTAGATCCTTCATGGTAATTAGATAAGTCTAATGTTTTAGCACCTTCGAGGTAATTAGAAAACTCTAATATTTTTAGCACCTTCGTGGTAATTAGATAAGTCTAATGTTTTTAGCACCTTCATGGTAATTAGATATGTCTGTTTTTAGCACCTTCAAATAATTAGATAAGTCTAATGTTTTAGCCCCTTCATGGTAATTAGATAAGTTTAATGTTTTAGCACCTTCATGGTAATTAGAAAAGTCTATTGTTTTTAGATCCTTCATGGTAATTAGATAAGTCTAATGTTTTAGCACCTTCGAGGTAATTAGAAAACTCTAATATTTTTAGCACCTTCGTGGTAATTAGATAAGTCTAATGTTTTTAGCACCTTCATGGTAATTAGATATGTCTGTTTTTAGCACCTTCAAATAATTAGATAAGTCTAATGTTTTAGCCCCTTCATGGTAATTAGATAAGTTTAATGTTTTAGCACCTTCATGGTAATTAGATAAGTCTAATGGCTTTAGCACCTTCATGGTAATTAGATAAGTCTAAAGTTTTTAGCACTTTCAAGGTAATTAGATATGTCTAATGGCTTTAGCACCTTCATGGTAATTAGATAAGTCTAATGCCTTAGACTTTATAGTAATTTACTTGGCCCAACATTTGCTTAAGAGCAAGATATTTATATTTACATAATTTTAGCACATTAAGGTATATTACCAAATCTCATTATTGCTCAAGATCAGCACATAGCTAATTGTAATGTACATTCGATTTAACTATTTGAAGTGTACAGTCCATTTTAATTTATAATTCCACCCTTTTTCTATCTTTGTTTTTCATTTCTCTGTATTACATATCTAATTGTATGTCACTCCTTGCCCCCAAGTAGAAATTTGTATAAATTTTGTTAAAAGCTAAAATCTCACAACAAACTGAGCCCTGCTGTGGTAGGGGAGAATGTGCCCTGCTGTAAGGGTAGGATGGGATCTGAACATTTAAAACTGCATAGAGTATAAAATTTTCCCAGGCCCTGGGGTCTGATACTTGTCAAAACTTCTTCGTTCCATAAACGTTTATGGAAGCACATCTGCATTATCTTTCTCAGTCATCTTTGATGAAATACAGCTAGGGTGTCTCAGTCATTGTCCTCATGAGCCTCATCATCTTCCATGTCATACATTAATGGCTATGATAATGATAAGATATGTAGCACTAAGGAAAGGACATGTAGAGCTAATGGTAGGCTAACTAATGCTAATGGTAGGCTATCTAATGCTAATGGTAGGCTATCTAGTGCTAATGGTAGGCTATCTAGTGCTAATGGTAGGCTATCTAGAGCTAATGGTAGGCTATCTAATGCTAAAGGTAGGCTATCTAGAGCTAATAGTAGGCTATCTAGTGCTAATGGTAGGCTATCTAGAGCTAATGGTAGGCTATCTAATGCTAATGGTAGGCTATCTAGTGCTAATGGTAGGCTATCTAGTGCTAATGGTAGGCTATCTAGTGCTAATGGTAGGCTATCTAGTGCTAATGGTAGGCTATCTAATGCTAATGGTAGGCTATCTAGAGCTAATGGTAGGCTATCTAGTGCTAATGGTAGGCTATCTAGTGCTAATGGTAGGCTATCTAGTGCTAATGGTAGGCTATCTAGAGCTAATGGTAGGCTATCTAGAGCTAATGGTAGGCTATCTAATGCTAATGGTAGGCTATCTAATGCTAATGGTAGGCTATCTAGAGCTAATTGTAGGCTATCTAGTGCTAATGGTAGGCTATCTAGAGCTAATGGTAGGCTATGTAGTGCTAATGGTAGGCTATCTAGTGCTAATGGTAGGCTATCTAGTGCTAATGGTAGGATATGTAGAGCTAATGAAATAATAGGTAGCTCTAATGAAAAGGTGTGGTCATGGTTTTCATTGTTTACTGAACATGATTGTATGTTATGTTATAAGTATAATTATTTATATAATTGCATAGACAGTCACTATAATAAAATAAATATTTTTCTCCTCCTAACAGGTTCCATATGCAGAAGTGGGCTCAAAGATTTTGACCTTTGCTGTGTACGACTTTGATCGCTTCTCAAAACATGATCAAATCGGTCAGGTTCAAGTACCCCTGAATTCCATTGACCTTGGCAGAGTTGTGGAGGAGTGGCGTGACCTTCAGTCTCCTGACACTGAATCTGAAAAGGTTAGGCCATTTACTTACATGTACAGTGGTACCTTGGGCTACGAATGCCTCAGGTCATGAAAATTCAGGTTACGAACAACAATTTCGAAATTTTTGTTGTCTCGGGTAACGAACAGTGCCTCGGGTTACAAAGTCAAAAAAGAGAGGGAGAGATAAAGAGCAAGGTTTAACGTTGGAGACAAATTTCCCTTGTTGCTGCAAAGAAACAGCAACACGAGACTCGTGAAATTAATGATTCAGAATAGCAAAGAAGGGATACATTTCCCATGATTGTTTTCATGGTAAGAAACATGCAGGGTGGCCCAGAAAGAGTGTGAACATCTCGTAACAAAGGGCTATATATTTGAATTAATATAACGTTTTATCATTGATAGTTGTACGAAAATTATAACACTAATCAGAAAACTTTTTCAATCTGTCTTCTCTCGCCCCGCCCCAACTGCTTTTCAATGACTTTTTGTAAGCGCCACCCTGTAGACTTAATCTTTTTTATTTATTTTACATTTAATTTTTGTTGTTGTTTTCTTCCTCTTTATTTAATATGTGAAGTACACGCATTCTTGACATTTTTTCAGGCAAACTACAGGATGCTAATAAAAAATAACGATTCTTTCACCTTAAAACGAATTGTCACTAATTCATTGATTTCAATGTATGGGTTACAAACGTTTCAGGTTAGGAATCGAGGTACCAATGTACACATAAACTTACTCAAGGACATTGCCTTTAAAAAGTTTAATTAGACACCAACAATTTGTGTCAATATAACAATATAATTTAAGCTTAAATAATAATTATACATAATACACAAGTAAACGTTTCGGCGCACGCCTTCATCGGTACAACAACTAAACATTTAAATAAGTATAAATTAAATTTTAAAAAAAAATTTTTAAATTGAAGAGGACGCAAAAACTAGACAAAAACAAAGTATAGGAGAGTGGAAAGCTTAAATTATATTGTTATATTGACTCAAATTGTTAGTGTCTAATTAATCTATTTTAAAGCTTTATCGCAGTCCAACACTTTTTATAATTAGTTAAATGCCTTTTAAAAATATGTATAAATGCTTAACTATCATTATTGATTTTTTTTTTAAATTTAGATATCTTCTAGTGTTTACTATTGTTTACTTTAAGGTACTAGTGTTTACTTTAAGGTTCACTGCATGATATTTGGTGCTTAATTTTATTTGAAAGATATAATGTTAAAATTAAATTAATTAAACCATTGAAATCATTAAATTATTGAATGCATTTTATTATTGAATTTAAAAAATCATTGAATTCTTTAACTCATTTGTTTCATTTGTACCTTGTCTGCAGGAGAACAAGCTGGGAGACATTTGCTTCTCTTTACGCTATGTTCCCACCGCTGGTAAACTGACTGTTGTGATTCTGGAGGCCAAGAATTTGAAAAAGATGGATGTTGGGGGGCTCTCAGGTCGGTACTGGTCATTTTGACATTGATCTATTTGGGATGGTGTGGGGGGAGGGTGGCGGGTGTGGGGGCGGGTGTGGGGGGGGGCGGGGGGGGGGGAGGGGGTGGGGGAGGGTGTGGGGGCTGAAAGTTGGAATATTTTCATTTTATTATATTAATAATTTACTTTCAAGTTTAAAAATTAGAATAGTGCATTAAGAAATAATTATAGTATTCTAAATTAAGTTAATTCATTAAAGAACTAAAGCCATATGCCATTTTTTAAATTTTTAAATTTTTTTTCTACAATATTAAATGGCAACTGCAATGTTTTATGGTTTTTATACCGGTACCTAACATTAAAAAACTGACAGCTCTGGCTTGGGGCAATCCATAAATGATGTCACGTGTCTAGGGGGGAAGGGGGGGTCACATTTTTGTGACGATGTGTGATGAGGGGGAGGGATTCATATTTTTTGACAATGTGTGACGAGGGGTGGGGGGGTTAAGCATTGTGGTGTCACATGAAAAGGGAATATCATTGTAAAGAATTGCACTTAATAACCCTAAATTAAATAATTTTTTAACATTATTATTTTATACAACAATTATAATTTTATTATTTTAAAACTACAATCACTGAGATAGTCAGTACAGGTATGCTAGGTGTGAGAAATGTTTCTTTCTGACACGGGTGCCAAATGGATATGTCAAATGATATCCAAGGGAGGTGATTTTCTTAAGGGTTTGTAAAGGACAGTAGGGGACACATGGAATTTTTATAGTTGGTGGGGTTGAAAATCAGCAAAATTTTTATATTTGAGGGGGTGTCTAACTTTTGTGACGATGGGGGGAGGAGGGGGGGGTGAAAATCAGAGAAATTGTGTGCTGTCATTTATGGATGGCCCCTTGTAACATAGATATGGCTAAAAAGCATTGACAATCAATAACATATAAAAGCATGAATATTATTTTTAAGAACACTACCAAATGATAAGACAACTTAAATCTGGTGTTTTATATTTATAGTGTGTGAAATGAAATAACAATAAAAGTTTCTCACTACATTGGAATAACTCTAGAAGTTTAGGGGAGGTTACTTTAAAATAAATTTTCGGAAATTGTTTCCATAAAAGATTGGCTTGACCTTTTCTTTTATAATATGAAAAACGAGTCACATGAAGTCTTTATTCCCTAGGATATTAAGTATGTGCTATTCGTATTTGATCATAACAAATTTTCTTCATCTAAAACTAATCCTGTTTCTTTACAGATGGCTGTGGTTTTTTTTTTTTTTTACATTTATTCTTGTTTTCAGAAGCTTTATTTTCATTGCTCTCTAAAAAAATTTAATGGACTCAAAATTTGGTTTTATTAAGATTTTTTTAACACTCGAGGCTGAAATGAGACCATCCGCAACAGCTTAAATTCACAGCAAAATTAAGTATGTGCTATTCGTATTTGATCATAACAAATTTTCTTCATCTAAAACTAATCCTGTTTCTTTACAGATGGCTGTGGTTTTTTTTTTTTTTTACATTTTTTTTTGTTTTCAGAAGCTTTATTGTCATTGCTCTCTAAAAAAATTTAATGGACTCAAAATTTGGTTATATCAAGATTTTTGTAACACTCGAGGCTGAAATGAGACCATCCGCAACAGCTTAAATTCACAGCAACTCATTTTCTATGTTTTGTAATAAAACTCTACAGATCCGTATGTGAAAATTGCTCTTGTACAGGGCACAAAGCGTCTCAAGAAAAAGAAAACGACTATTAAGAAAAACACCCTCAATCCATATTTCAACGAGTCTTTTGGATTTGAGGTTCCGTTTGAACAGATTCAGGTAGACAGCGTTGAGAGTCCGCCATTACTATTCTTGTTTTTTCTTCTCACTCGCACTGTTTTTATCTCTTCGATTTTACATTTCCGTATGATTTTTATTTTTTACTTGATTTGTCTGGATTGCTTTTTCTTAAACATTTTTTTGTCTTTTGTTATTTTTTTCGCCAAAGGCTTTTTAAAAAATTCATCAAGTGATTTGTGTCCATTTTTATGTCTAGCAGCTTATCCTTCACATTGCAACGAGAAAATATTTAATTAGTTACTCTTTTAAGTACTAATAAAAAATTTCTAGATAGCCCCTTTCCAAATTAATGAATTATTTTACACTTTTCACTTAATGCAATTTTGAGTAACTATATAATTTTTAATGTTTAATTTTAGGAGGCACTATTTTTTATTTCACTTAAGTAAAATATGTATGATATATGAAAAATATTTTTATTCATGTTTGTATATAAAGACCTATAAAAGAATTTAAAACAATCTTTAAAAGTCAAAGTTTTTTAAAGTATTTAAGCAATTTTTTTTTCAACTTGCAGACAGCATAGCATGCCAGTTCTCATCATTTTCTTACCTCAACCTTAACAACACATTTCTTGGACCTTTAAACTTTATTCCTCTAACTACTTCCTTAGCCCAAAATTCACTTAACCTCTTTTATTTGTCACACTAATTGCAGCAATAAATTTTTATCCTTCAGAATTTTTTTTTAATGCAAATTCAACCCTGTAGCTTTGTCATTCATTCTCAACAATCAAAGTCAAAGTCCTGATTTTTTTCCTCACTGTGCATAAAAATTTTTCTTTTCCTATTGATGTTGAAAATGTAAGTTCACAGAACCAGTTACCAGAGATGTTCAACTCATGACCTGAAGTATCAACAAGAAGATGATGTTTGGTGCCTTTAATATTTTGTCCTAACCTTTTTCAAATATTCTTCATGTTGCCATAAACGCCAAAATAGCTTTTTAAAAGCTGTGCACATTTTTTATGTTTAATTTCCAAAATTTTGCTTTGTTTTTTTTTTTTTGATACCATTGGTATGGAGCAGATCCGTATGTGAAAATCTCTCTGATGCTCAATGGAAAACGAGTGAAAAAGAAGAAGACAACCATCAAGAAATGCACTCTCAATCCTTACTATAATGAATCTTTTACGTTTGAAGTTCCATTCGAACAAATTCAGGTACCTGTATATTCGTATCTGTTACCATGTGCCATGGTGAAATCCTACTGTGTCAATGACCAGGGATGGGACTAGCCTATTCTCTAGAATATTAAACCTAGTAATATGTACAATATTAATCAGTATTCATTGAGCTTTTGATGTTTGCTTACAAATGTTAGGCATATTTTTTTTTCACATTTATTTTATTGCTCCAAACTTTAGGCTCTGTTTTTATTCAAGTGACTTTTGTTTCATTTGAAGAATCATTATAATACTGTCTCAAAATAAAACTAAAATACACTGATGCCAATTGTTAGGCTGAACTGTTTAAAATTTTAAAATTCAAAACTCCAAAGCTCATTGTCCATAGAAATGTAAATTTTAACCAGCACTTGGTTGTCCTAGCAGGCTTACTAACTGAGGATTGTTTTTGCTTATGATAACACTCTGTCCTTGTGAGTTATTCTAGAGTGTGTTGCTTGATGCCAAACTGTAGTGCTTGATTCCAGGAAAAACTTCAACTCATCTGATGTTTTAATAGTCTTTGCTTGACAGCATTGCTAGATTTATTTTTTCTTTTTCTGAATATCAGAAGCTATACATGCTGTTAAGTTTCTGGCTACCATGATAGAAAAATTAATTTTTTAACTTTCTTATTTTGATGATTGATGAGTTTCTAAATTTTCGGCTCTTCACGTCAGATTTATGAGATTGCTGTATTGTTAGAAATGTTGAAGTATTAGGCACACCTATTTAATACTGTTATACTTAATAATATTTGCACCATACTTGATTGAAAATAAATAGTATATTAGACAAAAGCAGATATTTAAACTCAACACAAAGCGCTGTTGTAAAGTGACTTGATCACTGCATGAGTCTTAGTACCCCAATGGCATTTTACAATGGTGGTCTCATGTTTAGTTCTGTATGGGTGCGATGATGTTGGAATAAATTTGTAATTAAGCACATTAAATAAGGTGCACTTATGTAGACATATTTTGAGTGGCATAACTTCTGCATGGGTAGAAAAAATAGCAAATTCTATAAATTCCATTTTCATTAAGAAAAATATATTTGAAAATACATTTTAGCATTTGACTTTGAAGGATGTTATCATCTAATCAAACTATCTAACATTGGTTTACTCCAGTACAATTTTCCACTGATGCTTTTTAATAGTTTAAGTTTTTTTTTTTAATATCATGTAATTAAGTTATAATTACAAAATATGAACGGTGTTAAATAGTATTTGCATGTCTGAGGACCACCCAAACATCACAGTTATGCCACTGCAAATGTACCACCCAAACATCACAGTTATGCCACTGCAAATGTAGGTCAACCTCATTCCTGATGTAGTTGATACATAAAGATTTCAATAGCTGTGTGACACAAGCTGCGGTATGCATGAATCCTGCTCAATAATTTTCTCTTTTTTTTCAATTTAAAATTGCTTCTACATTTCTGTTTTAATATCAAACGGGCAAACTGCAGAAAACTGGAAGAAATTGGAATAGAAGAAGTCACACTAAAATATAAATTATTTGTTTTGGACAATAATTACTGGCTATTCAAAGGCATTGACCTCATTAGTTTCTTTTGTTTTCAAGAGATCTGTCATTTTTGGGTTATTATTTTATATATGAAACAGGAATTAACGTACCATTACCTTTTATGTGCTGGTATGCCTTTGTCCTGATGCATTTTTAGAAGAATTCACAGTCTGGTGCTCTGTTTACTAGCCATCTATTGCCCGACATTGCGCTGCACTTCATAGTTTACAGCATGCAGTAAGAAGATTTATGATACAAACAAGTACATTTTTAAGCGAGCATAATGTTTGAATTATTATACTGGCTTATTCTTTAATCTAGCTTTGCTGTCTCATTTTTAAACATTTCTTTAAGGATGGTCTGTTTTGATGCATTTAGATTTTGTTTCATAGGTTGCAAGAGAACAATTGGAAATGAACTTCTGATATCGACACACACATTTTTTTTAATACTTTATCAAAACTGTTCACTTTTATCTATTATGAAATTTTAAAAAATGAAATGTTTTTGCTGCAACACTTTAAACAAATATAGGTCAAACAAACACCACACAAATATAGGTCAAACAAACACCAATACCCAGTACATGAAACAAGTACTACAAAACATTGACCGAAATTAGATACAGAAATACACTTAAGGTACCACGTGGATACATATTGTATAACTTAATTTATCATTGCATCATTAGATACTTAGTCTTAGTCCTCTTTGTTATTAAACGAAGTTTTCCCACCATCATGATGCAATTTGAGAACAAATTAAATCTTCATCACCAATTTTTTTTTCCTTAAAGGATTTTTTTGTTGAAATGCTTTCTAACAGATGAATTATGTACCGTAACATTGATATTATTTTTTTATACAATTTTTGATCTATCATCATGTCCTCTCAAAAATTCATTCTAAAAGCTTACATATGCCAGTGAAACCTCTTCAAACACTCTCATTAACAACAATCTCACACGCTTATAAATATGGTTGTGGCTTATACCCTCAGTGCTAAGTGTGTAGCATTAGAATAGAGCATAAATATTTCTTATTGGCTTGCCTTGGTAGCTTTGTTCTGTGCATCTGTTTTTAGATTTTTACTTTAAAGACGAATAACTTAAACTTAATAAGGGGGGGGGGGGGGGGGGTGTTAGGGTTAGGGTGTTGGAAATTATAAAATATTCTCAATCATTTTAATTATAAGGTGGCATGAATCATGCAGAACTTAATTAAAATATATCTAAAAGATTATTGTATTTACTTTATTAAAGCAGAATTAAGTAGGGAAAAAGCAATAGAATCAAATTTAACTTTATATACCAGATAGTTTTCAATTATTTGTGACATGAATTCAGATTCATGTCCTGTTGTATTTTTGTGGGTTTTTTTTTATATAGATTAACATAAATTGATGGATGATTTCAAACTACTTCTAAGATTGGAAGAAACTTTCCTATTTCTTTACTCCACCTTATTGTACCCTGCATGTTTTATGTCTTTATTTTAAAATGACATTGTTCCTTTTTCATATTCATATTTTATATATTTATTAAATGTATTTAATTTATTTATTTTGCCGATTCTCACTTGAGGTGTCTTGAAAACCATTTAATTTTTTGAAAATTACAAAATGATGTGAAGTGGATCACATTTTACACTGAATTAGAATTAAGAGGCTCATCCTTTATCATAATGTGGAGTGGTACTAGTCCCATTTTTGCTCCATAAAATAAAGAATAAGGTTTGAATTTTAAATAAAATTTCAAGTGGAAAGGGAATAGTAATTTATTTAATTAAAATATTAATATTTTAATGAATTAAAAAATGAAAGAAAATATTGCATTTCTTTGAAAATATTATTTTTCAATTATGTCTAAAAATAACTTAGAGCTTCAACAATTGACCGAAATTTAAAAGTTGTTTAAATGATTGTCAATTTACAAACAGTATTACATTATTTTTATGCTAGGCAAAGGGTTACAATTGTCAAAATTGCTTTATCCTTATGCATTATATTAATGACCCTTTAAAAAATATTATTACCAAATTTTAGCATAATTAAGTAATGAAGAAAATTAACTGTTTCATGAGGTTATTATAATAAAATACAATCTTTAATTAATGGAAGGACATACTTTTTTCAAATCTATCTTTTTGTTCACTAAAAATTACAATTTACATTAAAACAAGTGCATATATTTACCAGCATCTTTCTTAACTGAAATATTCCTTTTAAAAGCAAATATGAAAATGTACTGCATATTTACAAAATGTCTTTTCAAATTCACCTATCAGCAAATAGCAAATAAAATGATACTTTGATGCAATATCCAGATGTAAAAATAATTAACTATTAAAATGAAATAACTAAATTTTAAAGTTACTTAAATTTTAATTAGGAATTATGTGTCGTCAACAATACTAACATATACATACATATATATTCAGGACAAATCCCTGTGTATCTCTATTACAGCTTTCATTTTTAACCATTTAAAAGTTAAAAAATTACATAAACATGGCAAGTTTAGCTTTTCCATTGGAGTAGCAATAAATAATACATCAGTTTTTAACTTTGTATAAGTATAACTTGGAGCATGTAATGAACAATAAGTAAATTGTCACCAAATTTTTTTTTTCTGTCATTATTAACAGTATGTTGTTTTTTTAGCTTTTAGAATTAAAATGAAGAAGTATTAAGAATGGAAAATTGGTGGTTTATGAGGGAATTAACAAATATTGGTAAGTGGGATCACCATAGAAAATATTTTCTAAACAATTAAATTTAAACAAAACTTTTTATTTTATTAACAGAAAGTAACGCTTATCGTTACCGTGGTTGACTATGACCGCATTGGAACATCTGAGCCCATTGGACGATGCGTTCTCGGCTGCAACTCATCGGGAACAGAGCTCCGACACTGGAGTGACATGCTGGCCAACCCGCGACGCCCTATAGCACAGTGGCACACACTACAGGAAGTGCCAGAGAAGAGCTAAATAATCCAGACAGAGGCACTGTTTCTTTCTTCTGAGATGAGACCAACAAACAACATGTACTTTATAAGAGAATTTAATACTAAAACGTTTTAAGAAACTCATTTCCACTTAACAGGGTCAAAAAGGACAGAAGAACCAGCTGTTAACTTAATTTTTTTTGGTTCTGTTTTTGTCCAGTTTAGTTAGCCTAATATTTTGAAAACATTATTCTATATTTTCATTGTACGTATAAACTAATCTAACAAAATGTTAAATGTTAAGGATTTTGTTCTCTGACTTATTCATTATTGAAAAGATTGCAAACAAAAATGCAAGTTATGTGACTAAAGTAAGAATACATCATTAAAATCTAACTTAAGTCAGTATTTTAGTTTCAAAATTAAATAAATAAAAGAAAGAATTGTTGAGACTAAAAATATATATGTTTTAGGTATTAAAGTAAAAGATAACATTTATCATAATATTTATTTTTAAAGTAGTAAATTATCATAAGAAATTTCACTCTGGCATTTACCTTTTATGTGGAAACAAACAAAAAAAAATGGGAGAAATACAATTGGTGACTTTTTTCTGGTATGCATAGGTTTACTGAGCTTATTGTAATATATCTTATGTAGATATTTACTGATACTTTGACAATTATCTTAAAAATTGACCATACAAAAATTAATTTTAAAATGTTAAATTTAATAGGACAAAGAAAAAACTTTTTCTTTTCTACTTAGTTTGATTTACATTATAATTATTAATAAAATTAATGCTGTAGTATGGAAACTATTTCTGAAGATCTATAGTTATTGAATTATTATAGTTACGGTACAGCTAAATGAATAATTATGTCCATGTTTTCAATAGATTAACTGTTGGGGAATGTAATCAAATTTGAAAGTCTTTTGAATTTGAAATTCAGCTGAGCATTTTTTCTTTAATCTTAAGTCATTAATGTCAGCAATTATTTATTGTCTTATACATGTCACTTTTATTTTATTATTTGACAACCAACTTAATTGCCATCCAATGACATGGCTCCTACTTAAAGCACTTTTTACAGTTATTTTAATTTTGAGGCAATTGTTCTGTCCAATGAAAAAATCAGCAAATAAATTAAAGCTAACAACAATTTTATTCAAACTTGATCTGAACTTTTATTCTCAAATCATCTTTGTACAGGACTTATGCACTAGTGTGTGCTAATATCTCCTACATTTGGTGTTTGTTTTGTCAGTGGTTTGAGTTGAAGCATTAGGCTGTTAAACATCATTCATCATATCTGAGAAGTTAGATCATTAGCTAAAAATAACCTCACTATTAAAAGCAACACATTTCTATAATGCTACCTGGTGGTGCAAGGACTGCTAATGGTTAGAGAATTTCAGATGCCCTAAACAAAGGCACATCACTGATAAATAACTTTTGAAAACACCTGTTTTTTTTAAGTTACTGGCATCATTTATGTCAATGATAGTTGATACAGTGTTATGTTGATATTTAAATCTTGTAATCGAACAAACAATTTTTGTGTTTTATGTCGATATGCATTTTATTTTTTAATAGAAGAAAACAAATCTAATTTGGGAAAAAGTAAAAAAGTAAAGTGTTAAGCTGAAAAGAATTGTGAAAATACATTATCTACTTAAATTCTTTGCTTTTATTTAATTAATAAGTAAAACACATTTTATGATAATCTTGACCTAGATTGAAAACGCACTGCTGCCTCCACAGCGTTTGCCATCATTTGTACATAATCTCATCATTTAATGTGTTCTAGTTTTAATTTTAGTCTGAGCTATGTTCGGTGATTTCTTGTGATTGTACCACATTCAGTGATTACAACAGTTCATATTTATTCAATAGGTTTTAATCTACCTACCATGATAAACTGTGAGTCTTGTCTAGTTTATGTTCCCTTCATCTTCCTTTTGATTACAGGAAATATTGTGTTTATTTTCAGATGGAAAACATCATTAATTAGTTGGTTAGCTTATTAATCAATTAGTACGCTGATGAAATTCTAACTTTAGTTTAATATGTCTTTTTTATTATGGACCAACAGCTCTGTATAGAAATTAGAAATAAATCAGTTATAAAACTACTTAAAGCAAGTCACACATTTGCCTGAACTTAGCTTTATAAATTTGAAAAGTTAATTTTTTGTTTGTTTGATATCCTTCATTATGTTCACCACTATTTTATTTTATACTTTATTTTTTTTTAAATAATTATACTGGTACTTATACATGCTTTACTTCTAATGGTTGTCTAGCATTTTCTCCCCCTTTTCTTCTTGAGTTGTCTACCATCTACAAACTTTTGTTACGTTATTGTGGGAAAATGCAATTCTTTTTATTTCTTCTTCCCTCCGTGTATATCTTGTGTAGCAACTGGTGACTCTTGAAGTTGTGCTCAAGTCACAACATACTGAAGGAATCTGAACAGCACATTTATTTGTTGCTGCTAAAGAGAATTAAGCATTACTGATATGAATTACCGGTATTCAAATCAACATTTAAGCATAATTCCAGAAGTTATTATGAATTTAAATAGATGTGATAATTGTGTGCAATTATTTATAACTTATACTACAGGAACATCTTCAACCATTGTGATTAATGTTGAAAGAACCAACAAAAATAAAAGCTTATTGGATTTAGCCTACTAATTCATCAGTTAATTTGTTCAAATGTTCAAAACATCCCAACACTGATGATGGGGCTGTTGATGACCAATAATATATAGAGACTAATCTTAGACGTCTATAGGTTTAAAATTCTAGTGCTATTTTTATTTTATTGTTGTACTTAGTACTTGTACTCAAAGAAATTTGTGCAGCATTTAATTTTATCTTTATGTTGTTATGCAGTTGATTTAGATTAAGATAAAATGTTGCTTTTATTTTACAAATCTAACACAAAACCAAATTCATTTTGTCTTAGGACTTAGGAAGTATCCAGTGCAGACCCGGAGTAACAACTAATTTGTTTAGTTTAAATAAGACCTTTGGATCTAGGTTATATATAGAAGTAGAAAACAATGTGGTCATCACATTTCCTGAAGATTTTTATGAATTTTCAATCTACCAGTTTGTGTATTAAAAGTTTGATCATTAGCTGTAGCTCTTAGAAATATTGACTGTTTTGTACTGTTACAGAACAGTGCATGCAAATAAGGGGTCCGATGTCATGGTGTGAAGGTTAAAGGTCACACACAATCCAGCAGAGACACTTGTGTTGTCAGTGTGCCACATTGGTTAGTTCATGTATATTCATTTGTCGCTGTTGGAAAATAAACACACACAAAAAAAACCAGAGAAATGAGTCTGTTTAATGATCTGTTTTAGGCTAGTGTTTCTAGTTTCATTTTAAAGACACCCACTAATTTGGTATTAAATTATTTAAATGTTCATAAATTATTGCATTAAATAGTTGGCAAATTTTTGCATGTAAACATATCACATAAAAATTTTGTTTAATTAAGAAAAAAATTGTTTTTTCACGTTTAATTTCTGAAGAAAAAATTAAACACTAAGAGCATTAACAAAATCAAGCATGTCTCCAGGACTGTCATTTGGGTGGGGCGGGGAGGGGCACCCCCCCCCCCCCCCCCCCCCCCCCCCTGCACCACATTTTTTTTTAAAAAAAATGTTTTTTTATGTTTAATTTCTGAAAAAAAAAATAAACACTAAAAGCATTAACAAAAACAAACAAGTCTCCAGGGCTGTCCTTTGGGTGGGGGGGGGAGGGGCACCCCCCCCCCCCACCCGGGCCGAATTTGCAAGATTTTTTTTTTCATTAGCTATCAGCATTTAGGACAGCAGAAAATCAAACGTAGAAGTGTTGTAACAGAAAATAATTTTAGAAAATAAATATTCAATCATTTAAAATAGAAAACATGAATCATAATCTGGCAAGTCTACTGCACCTCCCAGTAATTTAAAAAACTCAAAAAGCTGGCCAAGTTTTGGTTTTTGCGCTCCTCCCCTTGAAAAAAATCTGAAATGTCATCCCTGCATGTCTTAACTGCTAGTCCCATCATTAACTGCAGCAGCAGGTCAAAAGGGAATTGTGTAGGTAAGAAATAAACGCACTATACACTATAGGGGAGGGTACCTATTGCATGAAGATGAGCCACTTGGTTAACCATTTCAATGTGTTACACTAACAACAGCTGCCTGTTGAAGTGAAAAAATGTGAAGATTGAAGATCCAATGCACATCTTGTACCCAGGGCTCTTACTCTTCTTAGTCAAGTTGGGGGAATGACACATTTTTTGGACTGAATTTTTAAAAGTTATTAGATTAAAATTAGATTAAACAAATAAATAGTTTAAATAAAATAATAAAACAGCATTACTATTGTAACAAATATAAATAAAGGCTTTGTCAAGTCCCAACTTCTGCTAGCATTTCATCTGTTGCTCTCCAATTAAATGAAGAATGATGAAAAACTAAAATCTGGTGTATACCAAAATGAATCTATTCATAGCCCTCTCTGCCCTTTTCCATTTCCCTACTCATCAAGGTGAAAGTTAAGGCAAGGTGGTTCAAATACAAATGTAAACTGATGTAATCATAATCAATTTACATGTTGAACTGATTATTTTGGTGTGTTGGCCTTTTTTGTTGCTTGGTCATTCCTAAGTTTATTTTTTTTACATGGCCGTGTTGTTAGCCCTGCACACAAACGTCTGGGAGGCTGCTCCTTATAGCTCTCTAGGTACCGTGCAGCTGATTTTACTTTTAGGTAAATGTTCCCTAGCTTTTGTAGATCCCTCCACTTCCTACAAGGCAGTAGGTTCTGATTGTATGGACTTTATCAGATCCCACATTTCTTTCCCCTGGTTAAACAGAAAGAGGATGGGCGGAAGAAGGAATAAATACTATAAATATTGAAGTTGAAGTTCATCTTGACCAGTTGGATAATGTTGAACACATCTTTTAAAAAGGTATTTTATTAACTTCATAAGCAATCAATCCAACAAAACACTTCTGTAAATCATTTCGTAGGCTTTAATAACATCTCTGATGTTGAACAGATTTACACATGACGGAATATGTTATTTTGTAAATATTTACAAAACTGTTTCGGGAAAAACTCTTACGCGTAAAACATTTGTAACAGTGCATGACCATAAAATGAATCCAAGTTCATGTCTTTGAAACATGTGACAGCATAACGAACCGTTTTATTCTAAAATTAAAAATACATTTGCGCTCTATCACAAACTCCAAGAAAGAAAAACAGCAGAACTCCAAATGTAAACATTTGTTGTCATTTTGTCTGCAGTACAACAAAACATTCTGCAGATACTGATACAGTAGTTGTAACATTAGAGGCATAGCATGTTGTTTCCAGTAGTTGTAACATTAGGAGCATAGCAGGTTAGTATGTTTCCAATTATTCCATCAGGCTCTACTAAATTTTGATTGATATGAGAACTTTTGCAGTAACAGCAAATATATGCTCTAACTTTACTTAATTTTAATTTTATAGCCAAATTTTGTTTCCAGCACATTAAAATGCACCAAAACATGTATATGCCAAGAGCCATATGATATATTATGATAGCAAACAACTTTAACTTGCCAAAGCTGGCCATGAGGCAATTTTGAAACATGGCAATTTTCAACCAAAAAGGAGCCATACAACACATTTTCCTTGCTTATTGATTATTAAAGGTTTTCAAAAGACACAACATGTATTATTGCTGTGGAATATTTTGTGTATAGTTTTCACGTTGAAAAAGGTGACAGCTCAGAAACACAATTTACATGTGACAAAGCCTGCAAAATAACAGGGATGCAGCTATGTTTATTGTGAAAGCTTCACCTTAAGATTCACATACAATCAAGTCCATTCCATGAAAATAAATGAGTAATTTCATAACTAAAGATACAGGTAATCCCACTGTTACAAAGGAAATGCTAAAGAATAATAGTCTTCCAGTTCCAGCCTGCTAAAGTCAACAATGTCATATGGTCCACTGCTAAAGTCAACAATGTCATATGGATCACTTAAGAAATAGTTTTGGTGCCATCACTGAACTTCTCATGGTCCACAGAATGTTGTGTAATCAATGGTTATACAGGTTTCATTATCTCGTCCCCCTCTTTGTCCACAGTTTTTGCTCCTTGGACTAGAACTTCAATCTTTTTGGGAGCCACATATGAGCCCATCCCTCCTGCTCTGTCAGCCTCTTCTTGTGTGTATGGCTCCGTTTCAAGAGCTTTCATCCTGTCAAATAAAACAAGTCATAAAAAATTAACTACTTTTCAATTAGAGTACAGTACAATGGGTAGCAGTCACAAGCTCAGAATCAACCATCACAAGCACACAAAGCTCATCTGCAATTTTAGCTACTGAAAAAATAAATGAGTACCCAGCAATGCACTTTGGTTTTATAATTATTTAAATTCTGACAAAAACAGTTTATATGTTCATGAAATGTCTAGCACTATCAATGTAATGTCTAACACCAACACTCTACATGAAATGTCTAACACTCTACATGAAATGTCTATCTACATGAAATGTCTAACACTCTACATGAAATGTCTAACACTCTACATGAAATATCTAATCTACATACAATGTCTAACAATCTACATGAAAAATATATAATCTACATGAAATGTCTAACACTCTAAAGGAAATATCTAATCTACATGAAATGTCTAACACTCTACATGAAATATCTAATCTACATGAAATGTCTAACAATCTACATGAAATATCTAATCTACATGAAATGTCTAACACTCTACGTGAAATATCTAATCTACATGAAATGTCTAACAATCTACATGAAATGTCTAACAATCTACATGAAATATCTAACACTCTACATGAAATGTCTAACACTCTACATGTCTAACACTCTACATGAAATGTCTAACAATCTACATGAAATGTCTAACACTCTACATGAAATGTCTAACACTCTACATGCAATGCCTAACTCTCTACATGCAATGTCTAACACTCTACATGAAATGTCTAACACTCTACATGAAATGTCTAACACTCTACATGAAATGTCTAACACTCTACCTTCTCTTGTGGGGTTTACTCTTGAAATGATCTGTTAATGCTTTGTCATTGATAAAATATTTCCTGAAGATATAGAATGTTAAAAGAAATCAATTTAATAGCAATTAATTTGACTGCCGGCTCATAAACGGACAAAAACTAAGAACTTACAAATGTAGTGCATTATTGTTGACAACTGACTTACTCTGTATATGAAAAGTTAGCGAAAGACGGTCTGATAATAATAATGCCTAAGTGTGGTGAATAGGATAAAACCTACCTCAAGTGTGAAATCATTTCTTCATACAAGAATGGGGTTACATTTCATCTAAAACTATCATAATTGAAAGACCAGTGGTCATCATGAGGCTTAAACTTACATCCCCACAAGACATCTACGCTCTTCCATTGACAATAGAACCCTCTCAATCCCAAGAACCAAAACTAAGACCATCGGTGAACGCTCCTTCTACTTCCATGGGCCCACGTTCTGGAACCAGCTCCCCTTCCATATCCGTCATTGTGAAACCTCGTCCACTTTTAAAAAGTCCCGTAAAACCCATCTGTTTAGGTCCGCCTATGACCTGTGATGCACCCTCCTTGCCCTGCCTCATTTTCTATCTCGGGATGATCCTGTAGTATAGGCCAAAACGTGCCAAAGTGTCCTCGTTTTATAGCCATTTTAATTGTTTCTGTAGTATAGTAGTTACTATCCTAGTGTTTCATTTTTATTTTACTTAGTTTACATGTTTTTAATAATTGTAAAGCGCTTAGAGCTTTAAGGTAAGCGCTATATAAAAAATGCCTAAATAAATAAATAAACTGATGTGAGGACCGGTTTTAGAAATAAAGAGCAGCTTTGGACAGATTGTACACCTAATAATTAATAAACTTATCAGGTATTAAAATCTAGATCAGGGGTCAGCAGACTTTCTTAACCATCACCCCATAATATATACTTAACACCGCTGTTAACCGCCATTTTGAAGGAAGAAAATCATAGGCTTTTAAACTTCATAATGGTTTATTGAGTCTATTGATATGAAGATAGAATAAAAAATATGAAAGTACAAAATGAATTTGATAAAATCATCATCATGCAACAAAAATGATTTCTGTGATAAAAAAAATGTTGACTTCAAATTTTGTAGAAATGATATTTAAATGAAAGAAAATTTAAATACATTTTAGGGGTGTTATTATTTATTTCAAATTTTTTTTTTAGAACAATTTTGAAAACCTTTGCATCTCTTGACCTTTTGAGCCTCATAGGACCATACTCACATCCTCACGAGGGTAGACCCCCCACACAGGGGAATGGCAGCAAATGAAATTGAGTAAACTTGACAGAGCTCGATCAAGTTGGTTTTATAACACAACTAAGTTTAACACCAGAGCGGGGTGTCACCTGTCAACATAGAAGGGTACCACCAAAGCAGGTTGTCATAAGAGCTGATTGTCACCAGAGCAGGTAGACTCGGAGAAAAGCCATGGAGAAGTCTGGATGGGTTGACACCATGAGATAACTGCAATGGGTGGAGTCAATTCTGACTGCACCACTGACCATAAGATAAAATAGGTGACTAGGCAAAAATGACGTACCGATATTAGATAAGACATATGCGTTAGCTGCCAGGCCTCTAGTAATCACAAGTTATTGGGTGCATTTGGTAGTTACACTAGTTACACAGACCAGATGCAGTGTTGGCTGAACAAATTTATAAAAAAACATGTTCCAAATTATATTTATGCCTATTGAGCCCTTATTACACTTCCTCCCCAGCTCCTCCCACTACCCCAGATTTCCATTTTTACCTCATGTGAGTTTATTTACTCCCAGTTTGCTGACCACTGATCTAGATGCATGAATACAATTTCTTTTTTAGGAAAGGTTATCAAATTTTAAGAAAACAAATGTGTGCAAGTTTCTCGGCATATACCTAGGAACAATTAGTGTTTCTTTTTCAATGGTTGCTGACAACAGAACATAAAAATGACATAATTACTATTGTAGTAAAGGATTCAATTGGTGGATACAATGAAACTATATCTGTTTTTGTTCATGAATTGTATAACTGTTTTTGGTAACATTTTCCTTGAGTTCTATTGGCTGTTTCCCTTTTGCCTTTGATAAGCAATCGGCAAATTAAAAAAACTTAATAGACCGAATTCAAATTTTAGGTTATTTATAGGCATGCTCTTTCCTACTTAAACCCTTATCTGGCATAATTGCCAAGAAGGCTGCTTCTATGGTGTTACAGATGTTATAATCTAACTCTATGGAAATTAATATTACAAATGTGAATCAAAAGTATTACATTTTTTAAAGGGGGTCAAACTAGACTTACTTCTACTTTATTGAATCATAAGGTAAACATTTCATATGTTTATATTTCTTTCCAAAAATGTTAAGTCAAGCTGAACTTTTCAGAGATTTTTTGTTAAAACAATCTTGTAGGACTCGGCCCTGCTAAACAAAAGCCTAACTTATTTGAAGCATATCTTCAGGAAAGTGATTTAAGTAACTTATGGATACATTTTTTGGCATCACCCAGGCTAGTGATTATGACGATCGAGAATCTAGCAGTTCAAGTTCTAATAGGGAAAGTAGTTCAGAATAAGGTACTAATGAATTTAATAGGCATTATATCAAGCAATATGTAGGTCACCAATTAATTTATTAATTTTTTAAAATTTGTATCAACCCAAATAGCTTTATAATTTTCTAAACTGAAAGAATATTGCTTTCTATGTCTGACAAACATATTTACATGATAAAATTAAAAGGTACCCAACAGTCAGTGTGGGTGTGAGTTGAAGGCCGATGAACAGTTTTACTCACTGTTGAGAGGTCAAGGTCATGTTCATTTTACCTAGCTCACAGGATTCCCAAACTCCTATGAAATGATTCCTTGACCAATTTATTGTTAGAATATGCATAATTATATCAGCCTCTGGAATCATTTTCCATTAGTTGGTATTTCAGTGATACATATCAAAGTTACTAAAAAAAGACTATATACACCACAGCATGACTTCACTAAACAGTTGATTTTTCGGTTAAACACAATTATAGAGCTACTACCAAGTGAAGAAACACAAGTGAATACCGCTCTGATTCAAAAACATTTTAACCTTGAGCAAAGACCAGAAAATTAACTTTGATCACAATCACAAAAGAAAGAAATAAGTCTTGTAATACTTTTAGAATCATAAGCCATTAATTTAATCTGACGACGGCCTGGTGACTGTGCATTAATTGAGTTCATAGTATGAAAGATTTCTATTTTCGTAACCCTTATTTATAAAAAAAATGTTCTTTATTAGACAAAAAATGTCATTAGTTGCTAAAAGAATTGATCACAATCTTAATTGTATACTTACGCGCAAGTTAAGCAGTAGAACTGTGCAGCACCTGGTTTATCTAAATCAACTTCCTGCTTCAAAAGAGAATCAGGACTTTTTAAGTCTCCATGGATCTGGTCCAAATCTCGTGTGCGGTGTCTTGTTCTGTATTTTTCCTTCAGTGGTTTGTCTCCTTTATGCATTTTCTTTCTGCGATAGCGTCCCATTTTCAGATATTCCTTTAGAAAACTGTTAAGAATTAAATATTCAAACTGAAATGGGTAAATACAACATTAAAACCGCCTAAATAATGATAAAATAAAGATTGCTTTACCCTTATCCATTTTAAAGCCCATTATAACATGTTATTTTACAGTGTTTAGACTAAACTTTAGTAGCTTTGTGCCATGTACTGTTTATATCATTATTGATATATGAAGAGTCATTTAGTTAGTTTTCATACTGGGATGACACTGTCAGTGTCTACTTCATCAAAAATTCATTCCTAGAAAATACTTCTTAGTATTGATAAAATGTTCAAGCATTGATAAAATTAGAATTTTATCAAACACTTTTAGTGCTGTCTGAAGACCCCCCCCCCCCAACTGGTTGCCTTTTCGCACTGCCCTGGTTTTGTATATTGATAAAATGTTCAAGCATTGATAAAATTAGAATTTTATCAAACACTTTTAGTGCTGTCTGAAGGCCCCCCCCCCCCAACTGGTTGCCTTTTCGCACTGCCCTGGTTTTGTATACACAGAATTTCAAAATGAATGCTATATACGTATTTAAATGGCTCCTTAATTATCATTATGTTTAATGTTATATTATGATATAACACTAGACACACAACCAAACACGCCAACCTGTATGGTTTACCCCTATTAAGTACAGTTTCTATAAGTTTGCCAAGTTGTACAGCCATTCATACAAGCTTTTGAATGGTTTTTCCACTTGATTTAGAAAATATTTTTTACAAGACTCACATTCGAAACTGATGGTGCAATAAATTCAACATTGGACAAAAATTTGATTGGTCTGTTCAATATGAACATTATTGAGGCTCTGTAGGCCATCTCAATTAAGAAACAACGCAGTTTCATTGATCATATTTATCAACACTAAGAAAGCATAGTATAGTAGTAACTATAAAGTAGTTTGAGTAGTAAACCGTAATTACAAACCTTTTTGTGTAATTATGAACAAGAATTGAAGTCATAGTAAGTGTTATTTTAATTTTCATTAAATAATTAAACTTAGTTATTATTACAATCAATCAATGACAAGCATCAGTCATTACTTCAATGCATTATTTTGTGTGTTATGCTTTTCTTTGTTGTATAAGTAAATGATATTTAGAGCATATATCATTATAAATTGCAGATTCTAAACCTCCGAATACTATGTGAGAAATATGCTCAACACCAACAAAACCTATACCACGTCTTGGCTCCTATGCATGTAGATGAGATTTGCAATGTTCCTGTGCCTGGTGATGATGAGGGTATTTCACTGATTGCATGTGCTACTTTGTGAGGGAATCATGCACTGCGGGTTGAAAGGCTTGAGGCAATAGACGCAAATGTGTCTAGTGTTGTCGCCTCAACTGTTTCTTTTGAAAGCTTGTTGCAATCCCTGATTGTCTTTGGCAGGAATGAGCAGTTCCTATACAGGCTTCTTGCTGGTATGAGCCAAAATTGCTTGTCATGGCCTTGTCACTGTCTATGGCTGTTAATTTCATTTTTTCCCCCTTTTATTTCTTTTCTTGTAAATGAGCTCATTTCCCTGCCTATTCAGCCTATTCTAGGCACTCCAACTCAAATTTTCAAATACATCTGACATACATAAAGATTATATCATTGGAAAGGGCTGGCTCTAAGCTTTCCAGTGACACCAAGATAATCTTTCTATCACTTATAGGAGAAAAGTTATTAATTTTTTAGTGATTTATTTTTCCCCATTATTTGGCTTTGTATTTAATTTTTAAGACTGTGATCGCATTATTAATCTTTTTGTACTATTTTGCTTGTATCTTTTTTGCTATTAAAGTTAGAGCTCTCAAATTTGGAGGAAACATTAACAATACTATGTTTAACAAAACAAAACACATGATTTGTGAATTAACTTATTATATTTGATAAAATATGATTTTATTAGCACATGGTGTGGATAATGACAATTGTCGAAAAATTTAATTTTACAAAAAATGACATAATTACTAAACCAATAAAGCTATTGCTATAAAATTTTCAATACAAACAGATAATGTCCATATAAAAATAAGGCACATTTAAAATAAATAAAATACAGATCAGAAAAATTTGTGTAATTTTAGAAAAAATAATTCATGAAAAGCAACCGCGGCCGAGAAATTTTTACATTTAAATACATAACTTTTAAACTAATGAAGCTACTGCAATCACACTTTCAGTAAAAATAGTTTGTGACAATCCAAATGAATGTCAGACATGTGCGATGAAGCGCACCGCGTTATGTTGGATTCGCTCCATCTTGTCCACATCTTGCTTTAGGTGTGGGTCCCAGATGATTGCACCATATTCTAGTAGTGGATGGATGAGTGCAAGATAGGCATTTCGATTGCAGGAAGTTGGGCAGTGGCGCAGATTTATTCGAATGAAACCTAGTGTGGAGTTGGCTTTTTAAAAATTTTTTGTTAATATGGGGGTGACCATTATAGGTTACCGGGTATTTGAATTGAAAGAGAATTCCAAAGTATGGATTATTTGATACTTGTTTGAGTTGATGTTTTTTTTCTTGATATGCTCATTGTGTAGCATTTGGTTTCATTAAATTTCATGCCCCATTTGTCCGCCCAATTCATAAGGCACGGTCCACACACAGCAACAGATTGTATCCGTGTGCCCTGTCCACCTGAAAGTATACAAAATATTAATTGAATTTTACAATGAGTGAATTGAAAATTTAAATAAATTTAATCAAAACACAATTAAACAAAAGGAAATATATAGAATATAGGTCTATCAATACACCCTTATATCTAATAGTATTAGTCTAATACTAATAATAATAGCTAATAAATAAATTGTTTATAAGATGAGGATTTCTTGTTTGCAAATTGAATAATTTCTTATTGTATAAAGAATAATTGTACAAACAATTAATTTAAAACAAATTATTATTTTTTTGTTTACATTTATATTGTTTAGTAATATTATGATCAGAAACTGTTGTATAATCAATGTTTCATAGATTTAGAAATGTTTTATTTAAAGCGTTTATTTCCAAATAATTTCACCTCCCTCTGGTCAATAAAATTATGTAAAAAAAGATGGCCGCCGTTTTTTCATAACATGCAAATTTTTTTCCCATGATCGATATCATAAATTCCAGACATAGCCAGTAATGTTAAAAATAAATGCTTTCAAAGTCAAAGGGATCAAGCTTGCTCTACATAAAGTTTTTACATATCTATATGCTATACAAAAACAAAGAACATAAGATTAAACTTACCCACAGTTTGCGCTCTGACTGTTCGCCTGAGCCAGGTCAGAATAACAAAGAATTTATACCATCGTGACCGGAATTCTTCAGCGAATAGAGTTTAAGGCTGAAACTTACTTCTTTTTAGAAAATTACGCATTGGAACGACAAAGCCCGACATATACCGAAACCCGCCCTTCGCGGCTGGTCACAAAAATGTACCACACGAACCCCGCGGTTTTTTTTGCCGCGTCGTCCGGTATTGGAGTGCCTACCTATTCTCCAATCTTTTGGTAAGTTGTTTAATTAACACATTCTTATCCCTCCCCATTTTTTTAATCACACTTGTTTTGCACGACTTTTTTTGGCTGCCATCTTGGTTGACAAGATTCGTGACTTCATGGGATGTGTCAACCATTGGTGGGAAAAACATGGCATCCCTTCTTTGCATTTACCAAAGAACTAATTAAAAGCTGACAGCACAAACAACGGCTAATGTCATGAGAAGAATAGCACCCTGGTTCCGATAGGGTCAAAACCCTGCTTCCGATAGGGTCAAAATCCAGGTTAGGGATAAGTTTAGGGTTTTAGGTTAGGTCAGGTTTAGATTTATTTAGGGTTCAGGTTAGATTTACTAAAATTTAGGGATACATTTAAATTTAGGACTTAGGACATAAGTTCGCGATAACCAAGGTAAAAAAACGTGGTGCTATCTTTTCCCATTTACCCAAAAAAACAATATACTGTATGTATGAATAGGTAGTAAAAATGAGTAGGCTCTTTCTTACTTATAATATTGTTATTATTATTACTTAGACTTAGTCTTACTATGGTATGGCAGTGCTTTCAAATGACAACAGAAAATGATTTAGAATTTAGATCTAGGCTCTTCATTTACACTATTCTTAATCTTTACCCTTAATCAGACTTACAATGTTTGCGTTTAAAATAACAATTATTTTTTTTTATAGGCCTAATGAAATGCCTAATCGGAGTTTACACCTGGTCTAAGCCTAGAGTGCCTAGACCAGGTTTAAACTCCGATTATACAAAAATAATTGTTATTTTAAACGCAAACATTGTTAATCTGATTAAGGGTACAGATTAAGAATAGTTTAAATGAATGAGAGGTAAATCATATTATCATAATCAGTTAAATTAAAATTATATAAATATTTAAACCATGTGTACATTAGTTTGGGAGCACTTGCCTTGAAGCTTCACTCTTCAATTAGGAAGTCTACAAAAAAACCAGTTGGTTTTTTTAAAAAATTGTTTCGCTGAGAAACATTTTGAAGTAAATTATAAAATTATTCCATTTATTGTTATGATTAGATTTCAATAATCCAGCGACAAATCCATGTATATTACACAGCCCAAGCACCAAGATAGCTGTGTAGCAATGACGTTATAAAATTAATTATCGGAACTTATTATTTTAACCATTTTCTTTATTAGTACCGGTATGTGTAATGAGTAAAACAAAGTAAGGTTAAACCTGAAAAAGGAACGCAACAAAACAACGAACGTGTCGCCGGGAAGCCTTCGTCAGCGAAGAAACAACAGAAAAAAATTTAAAAAATAGAGAGCTGATAAATAGTCTCCGAGAAGGCAGCAAATGAATTGTCAATTCAGAACATTAAAAAAAAAATCATTTATTAACTATGTATTTAACTTAACAAACAAAATGTTAAAATAAAAAATAAAAGCCACATTACTTTTTAGAAATATAAAAAATATTTGCATAACACTAGCAGGTCAAGCAGCGCCTTCACTCGACTTTTCGAGGCCCCTTTTGCCACCTTTTGGTTTTGTCCTCCCCGGTGCCCACCTTGCATTAAAAGATGACAAGTAAGAAACATCCACATCACTTCTTTAAGCCCCTAAATATCCGAGACCAACTGCCGTTGTAGGGGTTGTGGGCTCACACGATGTATCTAAGGTAGGCTTGCGCAATATAATATAAGGCCCACCAGCACCCACTTTGAAGTAACGAAATATTCTTTTTTTTTATTATTATTATTTTATAAATAGCTTTATCTCATGTCATATTTTCTTTGGGCCCACACACGTTTTTCATAAAGTATTACGGGCCGCTTTACATTTTGAGTTGTGCAGGCCTAATCTAAGGTAACGTGGCACCTACATTTTTCAACTAGCATCTCTTCCGTTGCTCTCCAAGTGCAAAATGTTACAAAACTTAAGTACTGGCTAAAACGCATTCTTCTATCTTTAATTTATAAAAAAAATATGTTGACTATAAAGATTTAACAGGCAATATTTAGCTAGGGAAAATGCATAAGCCAAGCTTACCATCAAGAGCGCCACACATGGAGTGTATTTAGTTCATGTCCCGCTGGTGCGGTGTTAAAGATCTCTTTGATCATTATTATGGCTCATTTCGGCGCTTCCCACTGGACAGTTTGAAATATCACTTCAAAAGTGTTTGAAGAAACACCGAATTCAAGTATGAACCCCAGTATTTTAAATTTGTACGACTGTCTTTAGCACCCTTAATTTCTGCTCCCCTTCCCTAACGCTGATTAATGTTAATAGGGTTGAATATAAGCTTTTGCCAAATGATTACCCTGGGGCACACCATAACTTGGGTGAATTCAGTTTATGTATGAATGTATAGCACTGGCAACATAATGCATCTCCAGACACTTAATAATTTCCTTCTCCTAGTCAAAAAGTCTTATAGAAACATTGAGTTCAACTATAATCCAAAATGAACCTCTTGATTTTGAAATAATAACACAAATTATGTGGAGAAGGTTCCCCAGACCCCTCCACCCCTCAAGATTCATCCTACTGAACTTACGTATGCTTTTTCCCCCGTCTGGGGCATAAGGCGTCTACAAGAATTTTCCATTCACTCATCTCGGTCCAGTTCTTGCATTTCCAGTTGCTTCCAGGTGTATCCCCTATTTTGTGTGTCTGCCTCTAGCTCACGTCTCCATGTATTTATTTTTTACAGCGAGGGGCTTCCTCACTTTCTTTTTCCTTGTGGATTTCATGATAGGGATTTACTGATGATGGTATCTGGGGGTCTGTGGAGAGTACTCTTCCACCTCCATCTTTTCCTTATGATATCAGAAATAGCCCCCCCCCCACCCCCTCCTGGTATGTCCGATCTCGAAAGTCCTTGTTGCTGATGGTGGCCATTTGATGTTCAGAATCTTTCTAAGGCAAGTGTTTATAAAGGTCTGTACTTTCTGCGTAAAGACCGCTGTTCTTCAAGTTTCGGCTCCACAGAGTAGGACTGTTTTTGGCAATTGTGTTGAAAATTCTGACTTTGGTTTGCTGAGTCAACTCAACTCCTGGGACTCCCATATTTTCTTTAATAGCACAAATGCTATCCAAGCCTTTCCAACTATACCCCTGACATCCGTTTCGGATCCACCATTTAAGTCAATGGTGCTGCCTAAGTATGTGAAAGCCTCCACTTCTTCCAGTGCATTTCCTACCAAGGAGATATGCTCTTGGTTGGTTTAGTAACTCAATCATTACAAGCCATACACCTGGATTGGGTAAGTTTACATAAACATATTTGTAAAGTAACGGACAATTTCCGTAAACACCGTCAGAATGTTGAAACTCAGTTTAAGAAAAAATATTTACGAAAAAGTCTGCGGGTGCGGAACCTTGGGCAAATTGAATTTTGCGGAGCTGTTGACGTTACACATTCCACCGATAGGATCTTTAGACACGTTATAGTCTTCCCGAGATTCATCTCGAAGGGATAGTATGGGAGCCAGACTGACCTTCAGACTATCTAAAAAACTCTGAATATTGTGTTGACTGGATTATGAACTGTTAGTAGGTTTAGGTATGTTATAAATATACTACGGCAACGCGCGGGGCCCCGCAAAATTGGGCGGTCGCCCACTTCGCCATCCCCTAGCGCCGGTCCTGATTGAGACAGATGAAGAGCCCTCGTATCTGCGAACTTGGCTCTTAAACCTTAAGCTTAGCTTGTACTTGTACTATATGTCAATTATTCCAAAAAATAATAACGAACAACTATATTCAAACACAAAAATGAAATTCTAGACATCTCCTTAATCCTTATTGCAATTCCAAAATAATAAATAAAACCGAATGCCTTACATTATCTTACCGGTATATTTTCACCACAATGTGACGATGGTGGAGATTTCGCAGGACGAAATCACAAGGTCGGAATTGTGATTGTGTCAGTGTCATACCGCCTACGGGACTCAATATCGGGTCTAAATTCAGAACTTTACCTCTCTTAGATGAGTTGACCTTTCAACATTAAAAACGAAGGGTGCCATCACAGTAGGTTGCAAACAGAACATGTTGCTACTAGAACAGGGTGTCACCAGAGCAGGGTGCTTCAGGAACAGGGTATCACCAGAGACGGCCCGTTACCGTAACATGTTTTCACCAGACAGAAAAGGCTTCGTCATTTCTCTGAATTATCGTATTAGAAAAGCCAACAGTCATTACTTTTATCATTACCTGTTTCTGTGTGCACATGGCTACATATGAGAGGAGCTTTTATAACCTGAAACATATAAAGAACTATCTGCAATCTACTTTTATCATGGCAACATTTCAGGCTTTCTTGTCTTCGCCAGTTTTTTTTTTTTAAAAAAACCTCCACAAACACTGCAAACTGCTGCCAAAACCATTTTCAACCTCAACTCAATAAGTTTGTTAGACATATTTGCAAGAAAATTCTGTTTTTTTAAATGTAAAAACTGTGCAAGCTGAGCCGCAAAGCCCCTATATGTGACTGTTCTGAAATGGTTTGTCAAGTTCAGTTAAATACATGTTATTATTGTCGGTAGGTACCCAAATGCATTCAGTTTCAGAATATTTATTTATTTTCAAAATTTAAAATCTATTTCATGGATGACACATACTCTAATAATCAACAAACAACCATTTGCTAGGGACTGTTGGAAAAAAATATTAGGCCCCCAAAAATAAGTCACTTTCGCATGCTTTATACAATTGCGTCCACCAAGGTGTTCATTCCAACTACCTTGTGGATTAGGTAGAGTATGAGAAATATTATTAAAAGGAAACTGGAGCTATCAGCAAAGACTGTCTATGGGGTGTGTTACACCCAGTTGATGTGGATAGGGTTAAAATATTTAAAAAATGGCTTGTTGGGCTGTACATTTTATGGCCCGTCTAGCTTTAAATTTGTACAAAGTTTATATTGATTTCATCACAGTCACAGAATAAAAGAACACAACTAATTTCAAATACACTTTAATTGTCAACAAAATTTTAAAAAATTACAGTTTAGAAAAACACATAAATGGAAATGGAATGCTCCTCATAAGTTATAAGCATATTATTAATTATAGTAAAAAATGTCTAGAAACAAATTTTCAACTTAACTGAATGGATAACAACATTGTTAAAGTTAAACAAACCCATAAAAGACAACACTTTCTGATACAGCTCTTTGACTTTAATGGCGGTATTATGTGTTTAATTAAACTTAAACTTAAACCTATCAAATAATAAATAGTTGTAAAGTACTCTAATGGGTGGTCACTCATACAAAAAATGGAGTTATTTCTAAATTTGTATTTTTTAGACTAAAATTAAAAAAATTTCCGAACCAAAAGATTTTGTATTTTCTATTTTATATATGCAGATTTATGGCAAATGGCTGAATTATGTTTGCTTAATTGCTACCATAAAATGCTGTGAATATACAAAAAAGTTGATTTCTAAAATGTTGATTCACATAAAAAAAACAGAACTTTAAAAAATGTTTTGTTGTAAAGTTAATTTCTTATTAATTTATTACCTTGGTAAATTTGAAAATAAAAACTATTTGTACACGTACAAAGCAATTTCTTAAAACAATTTTAAATGAGCTTTATTGACAATCAATGTCTGTCTTAACATTCTGATCACTGATAT